GTTTATGTAGCCACAAATGACAACCTCTCGCGCTGAAGCTCGCTGAAGTAAGACGTTATCAGCGAACAAACAAAGGCTCCACGATTTATATGTAGTCGCCTGATACATTACTGTAATAACCCGAGACAAAACTACTTAAGCACTCTCAATCTCCAGTTCCGGCCCTGAAAGAGTCATCCCACAGTTGCGAAATCGCGAAGTGTTTAAGGGATCCTGCAGGGTAAAAGGCGTCACCACATCACGCGGCCCCAAACACCAGCGAGCCTTGTGGGTAACATCCGTCGGCTCAATAGGAGTGTTTCCGCTATTATTTAGCTCAACAATTATCGCGTGCACGAAGCCATATTTGTGGACCCAGATTACGACGGTATGCGCCTTCACCAAACAATTAGTACACGACGCTCACTTGGTTTCATAGCTTCAAGTCGCTATAATCAGCCTCAGGAAAGTCTTCATTTCAATATACCTTGCGGAGCATTTGATGAGCTCGCTCAGCAGCCGTGACGCCGCGTAACGATGAATCCCAGATTGGCGACCTATTATGGGTACAATGAAACTCATGATCAAGTCTTCGGGTTGTGCTTCAAGCGATACTCCCTTTCCTGTGATTCTTCTCTTGTAGTCTGCCTCCTGAAAAAGAGCACCACCTATTATTTTGTACGTGACCTTCCACCGCTACGATTCCAACTTCCGCGGCCATTTCAGATGTCTTTCCTTCTTTGCTTGAGACTTCGATGTAGATCACGACGACAGAATAATCGAATGGGAATGATGAATTCTCGAAACGATTTTTGACAGAAGGTTGCGGGAAAGCTGTTCCGCAAGCCACAGTTCCGCTGCCTTAGGATTACACAAGCTGGCTTGGATGAAGCTTGATCGAGACGTAAGCTTCCCGCCGCAGTACGGAGCGGAAAAAAACAACTAGTCTAGGCAGAACAGAATTCCGAAGAACGGAGCAGAGAGCAGGGAGCACGGAGTACGAGGTTGTGGATTTCATCCCATCCAAGGCAAAGTCATTTCAGCGTGACATGTGGACATCCGGCGTGGCTCGATGTGTGGTACCAAGCAAGCAAGCAGGCATGCGTGCGTGCGATATTTGCTTCCCCGCAAGCGTCCGCTCCTGCAGTCGCACCTCGTCCAATTGCAGGTGGAATTGTCGCCTAGTGATCTCCGTCAGTGTATTGGAAAACATATGGCACTTCAGACTTAATACAATGCACGGAGCCCGACTGCTGCTTGTGCTCGCTCTGCGCGCCTGTTCCTCCCTCCACGTTGCGAAGACCCGCTCGAGGGTTTTGGTATCCTGGATTATCATCGGCCCGATTTCTCGGATAAATTCTCGGGATATATTTCCTAAAAGGGTTAAAACTCTACTAAAACAAGAGCGCCACACCCTCCCCACGATTGCGTAAAATACTCCTGTTACTAAGCCCGCCGATCAGCGTGCATTGCGATGCGGAATCCGCTCAAACGGTGTTGCCGACAAGGAGACGATGATATTGACAACTTATTCGGCCATGTTCTGATTTAGATTCTTAAAATACCGGGTTGCCTATCATTGCAATCCTTTCCCTCGTTGATAGAACATGAGCACGGTCCTTCAAAGCCGCCTGTCCGCCCCCGACACTTCTGGGGACCTAAGGGGCTTCACTCTATAAAATGGGTGACCATAAAGTATTATACGAATCCCTTCCGATCCCTACCTACGAAGAAGCTACGTCTGCACGTCCTTCATCATCACAATCCCTTCTTGGCCCCTCAGAAGTGAGCGATGACGCCGAGAGGCAACAACTTCTCAGCCATGCTCCCGAAGTGGGAAGTTCGAGATATCCTCGAGGATACCACCCTCCCACGGTCGAATCTGCCCGATCGAGCGTGGACTTTTTAGTGTCCTCTAATGGAGGATCAGTTCGAGCCTCTACTGAGAACCTTCGAAGGGAGCTAGAGCACATGGATGTGGAGGACCCTTCGGGTCAACGATCTAGCCGCTCTGCCTTTTCCAAACGATTCGCCAACCTCAGAAGAACATTATCCTCCATAAACTTCCCGCTGCGGAAATACATCCCAACGTTCTCCTTTCGATTGAACTTCCTACATTCTGGGTTTGGCAACCGCGACGCTCAAAAATGCATCCTCGTCCTTCGACTTGTCGCGGTCCTCATAGTCGTCTCGATCATCTATTTCATCGTGGTCTCCGATATTTTTAACTTTGGAGGAGGTCTAAATTTTGGCCGGTTATATGAGCCCGAGTCAGTCCGAAATTTCGTCCAGAACCAGGTGAATGAAACGGCGATCGCTGAAAATCTTGAATACCTGACACAGTTCCCCCATATTGCGGGCACCGAAGGAAACTATGCCTTGGCAGAATGGGTGCAGGCAAGGTTTCGAGCAGCGGGGCTCGAGAATGTTGAAATGGAACGGTTTGATGTTTATCTGAATTATCCTACCAAACACGGCAGGAGGATAGCAATTGTGGAGCCAGCAGACAAGAAATGGGAAGCTAAGATCGATGAGGAAAAGGTGTACAGGAGATCGAGGGAGCAGACATTGGTTTTCCATGGACATTCAAAATCTGGAAACGTCACTGGCCCTCTCGTATATGCCAACTATGGTTCCAGAGAAGATTTCCAAGCGTTGGCCGATATGGGGGTGAAGGTTATGGATTCAATAGTTTTGGTGAAGTACTATGGCTCACAGGGTGATAGAGCACTGAAAATCAAAGCTGCTGAATTAGCTGGCGCGGCTGGGTGTATAATCTATTCTGATCCAGCAGAAGACGGATTTGTCAAGGGCCCAGCTTGGCCAAAAGGAAGATATATGCCAAGTGATGGCGTGCAGCGCGGAGGCGTCAGCCTGATGTCGTGGGTTGTTGGAGACGTACTGAGCCCAGGTTTCGCCTCTCGCCCTGATGAGAAAAAGAGATTGCCAGTCGAAGAAAGCCCTGGTCTCCCAAAGATCCCCAGCTTGCCTATCGCATGGAGGGATGCGCAGCATCTGTTACAAGCTATCCAAGGTCATGGTAAACGGGTACCAAAAGAATGGGTCGGTGGTGTGCCAAATGTCGATGAATGGTGGTCGGGGGATGACTCTTCCCCCAAGGTCAATCTAATGAACATTCAAGACGAAATAGAACGACAGCCAATCTACAATGTGCTTGGAAGGATGACTGGCGTCGAACAGCCAGAGAAAAAAATCGTTGTAGGAAGCCATCGAGATGCATGGTGTTTCGGTGCTACAGATCCAGGTAGCAGCTCTGCTATCCTACTGGAAATTGTGCGGATTTTCGGGGAGCTTCGAGCTCTTGGGTGGAGGCCATTGCGCACTATCGAGTTTGCAAGTTGGGATGGCGAAGAATATAACCTCATAGGCTCTACCGAATATGTCGAGAATAGGGTTGAGGATCTGCGTTTCGATGGTTTTGCCTACATCAACGTCGATGTGGCTGTATCGGGTGAGGACTTTAGGGCTTCTGCCTCTCCTCTATTTGAGCGTTCACTTCGACGGGTCTTGAGCCGGGTATCCGATCCCAAAACTGGCGAAACCCTACAGAGTATTTGGGAGAAAAAGGGCTCTAAACTTCAGGGATTAGGCGCTGGAAGTGATTACGTTGCCTTTCAAGACATTGCCGGCACATCTAGCATTGATTTCGGCTTTGAAGGAGACCCATACCCATATCATAGTTGTTATGATAACTTCGACTGGATGTCTACCATTGGTGATGCTGGCTTTAGATACCATAAAGCCCTTGGACAGATATGGGGTTTGCTTCTCTTAGAAGTGTCCGATCGGCCCATTCTTCCATTTGATCTCGAAGCATACGCTGCTGCTGTTGTTCAGTACGTATCTAACCTGCAAGACTACGCTAAAAAGAACTCGGCTCCGTTGACGCCATCCAAACTTGCGCGTGTGGACGGTTCGAGGACACATATTGACTTCAAACCTTTGTATGATGCGGCTGAAGTATTCCGTAGGAACGCCCGCATTTTTCATAATTGGGAACGTGTGTGGAATGAGACGCTATATGCCAACAATGGTTTCGAAAATAAAATCTTCGGCATCCGAAGATTGAGCCATAATGGTCATATGGGAGACTTCGAAACGAATCTGCTTGATTTGGAGGAAGGTGGTGGTGTAAGTAGAACCACAGCTGCTTCTACATTTCCGAAGAGTTCACGTGTTGTTATATTCGATCCATACTTACATTATTTTTAGGTTCCCAACCGCACTCAGTTCAAACATATCATTTTTGGCCCGCAAAAGTGGTCAGGCTATGACGAGGCATTCTTTCCAGCCATCAGGGACGCCATCGACTCGAGAAACTGGACCGAAACGCAACATTGGATCAATAAAGTTTCGAGAATCCTCACTAAAGCAAGTATCAAATTGAATAACTGAATTTAATTTCACTCCTTCCTCCCTCTCCTTCTGCGAACTTTGGGAATAACAGGGCTTTCCCCTATTGCATATCTCAGAGGTCTTCCTGATGTGTGAAATTATCCTTCTACCAGGCACTCTTTAATTGCCTCTTTTGTAGGTATATTTTGGCCTTTTAGACAACTGGCCAATTTGTCTAGATTTACTTATACCCGAAACGCCCACCCCCAGTGTATGGTTGTATGCAAATACTGACTTTTGTTGTTCTGATATGTTTCCCAGTTTAATGTGAGCCTCTGGGCAGTTGCCATGCATCTTCTACGCATATAGACTGGCATGCAAGTTGTCCTTTGCCATTTTATTGCTTTTTTAAAGGGCTGTTGGTGGTTTTGGCTGGCATTATTGGTTTAGCAGCTTTCACTTCGTACATGTTCCACATGTACTGGTATGGGTACTTGTATTCCTAGATATCTGTTTTCTTTGGCTGAGCCGAGGCATCCATATTGTAATTTTGTGATATCATTCTTCTAGTGGTTAAAACACTGCTATAACTTGGCAAATCCGAGCCCGCTGTTCTATAGATACATCCTAACACATGTTATACAAGGCAAACAAAATCGCAAAGTAAGAGTTGTCGATTCATTTCAAATAGGAATCATGGCAAAAACGTTTCTTCGACCAACTCTCGGACACTGCTCCTTTTCTTTTATTACAAGCAGTCGGTATCAAAAGTTAGAATTCAATAGCTCGGTTCTCAATTTCATTGGGAGTTTTTTTCCCCACATGTGTGTTTTCAACACCCACACTTCAGATATTCAAAATTATTTTCAGCTAATTGGCGGTGTGAACTGATGCTGAAGGCGGATTCCCGGGGAGCAATGCCAAAAGCGACAAGACACCACGAAGAAACCAACGGCGAATTCGTGAAATGTATATTTCAAAATTCCACGAGTATTCGCCGATGGACGGTCGTTTTCCGCTCGTGGTCTAAGTGGGCGGAAGATTTTTCATATCACCTTTGCCATCCTTGATCCAAGCAGGATCTATTAGCCGCTCCCTTTCAGCATAGAGCTGCTTGTATGCACCACGTATTGTGCCATCACTAACGTGGGCAACGGCGGAAATTTCTTTCGCTGATTTGCCTTGGCCCATCAAAAAGGATGCCATATATATTGACGCAGCGACGATTGACAAAGGTGAGCGACCTGCGAGGTCGCCCATAGAGGTAACTCGGTCAGCAAGCGCAGATGACACGTTCGTGACTTGGAAAGGCAGATCAAGCAAGTTGCAGAAACGGTTGCAGAGATCACTTGGCTTGGTAGAAGTAGTTGCGGTATAGGTTTCGTTGGGATCTGGCACCCCTGTTGATGATAGATATTAGTCACAGGGTGTACAATGGCGGTGATAGAGACCAAGAGACTCTTACCTCCACTCGAAACTACAGAGTTGATCCTCTCCAAGTTCTGCGCAGTGAAGAATTTTTCCAGAGCTTTGTAGATCCTCCCGATCTCCTTCTTTGACACCCGTGTCAAAGCGAAAATCTCGGTAAAGGTTCGCGGAACCTTGCACTGACGACAGGCGATAAAAATACATCCAGCAATAATAACATCTTGAGATTTGCCTTTAAATGCTTTTGCATCATCTACAACCTTGAAGAGGTATTTGGCAGTGTCGGCAACGTTCTTCTGAATATTGAAACCGTCACAGAGTGCTCCAATCTCCTTGTATGCCGCCAGCAACGCTCTGTTAGTCTTCTCACTTGACATTTTATTCTGAGCACGATGCAGCTCGCGTGTCTTAGCGCCGCCTTGCCCATATGAAATTTGGGTCTCGAGCTGGTTGCCATTTAAAAGCGGGTTGGCAGCATCTCCGACACGAGATGGGTCATCGTTATTTTGATCGTCGTTTGAAAACGTGCGCCACTCTGAATGCTGATCAATTTCTCGATCCGCAAGAACCAGGCCGCAGGAGCCGCATATCGTCTCATGAGAGTCAGGTGTCCGCAGATTAGGGGGATTCTCCTTGCATTCTGGGCAGATTAAGCGTGCTGCAAGATTCTCCTTCCACAAATTCGGCGCAGCCTCGGTGCGAACTCCAGGCCCAAAAGTCGCCATCTTCTTTACCTTTTCTTTTGTTCTCAGACGCTCAGTATGGCGCTTCTTGATTGATTTATAGGAGACTTTAAGGTTATGTTGGGATGCGCAAGCGCGAATAAACAACGGCGAATACACCTTGCCGGTTTGTTTTCAATGATGCCCGGTCCAAAGACGCAAAGAGGATGAAAAAGGTGTGGTAGTGGCACGCGGTTAAGCCTGGGGTAGAGCACAGGAGTCCGTGGCCACTGTCTTTAGAAATCATGTTAGCTCAAGTGTCAAGCAAACATTATCATATAACTCTTTTAAAGTGGTATCCATTAGTTACAGATGGTAGATGAGAGAGTCACTTTGGGATTGTACAAGTAGATGCGCTCAAGTGTTCATAAACCCAAAGGCTATCACAGCTTTACCTTTGTGAGGACAACCGTTCCGCCCCAAATGTCAAAAAGAATGACAATTTGGGCTCCCTTGCGCGATAACCAACGCTGCAAAGGTGAAGGCGCAAGCCGATTTCTCAGTCTGCGTTGAAATCCTTCTAGCTCGCTCGCACAAGAGTGGCAAATATCAGTAGTGACTGAAGGAAGCCCTGCGACTTGGCTATGCGAACACCTGAACGCGTCTCAGCAGGTTACTCCGTGAGAATACCTTCCTTGAGGGTGTTATTCCTGGATTAGAGGCTTCAGAGCCGATGTGTTGGAGACGCTGAAGGGAGCCTGGAGCTGGATGGAGGATGAAATGCTGTTCAGCTGGGAGCGCGAGCCTTTTTGATGGCAGCCTCGCAGTGGATGACTAATAACCACGAATGACTAATCTAAACGCCAAGCCTGGAGGTCGCTCACAAACCCGCCAACCAGCCGATATTGCAGTTTGACGTCGAACCTGCAATTGAATCCCCCCTCTGGACCCTCATATCGTCCGTTCATCATCCCATCGCAGTTGCAATGTTGTTTCAATCACTTCGGGCATCCGTAAGCATCATTTTGATTCCCGCTTTGTGTCAATTGAACCCATGCTGACCCTACGTAGCGGTCACTCTTGACCCGAGTGGCTCGGCAACAGAGCTCCGTTGCCGTTCGAACCTTTGCTACTTCGTCCGCTAGACAAGGTAGAAGAGTTAGACAGACTCCTCTTTCGCCCTCGGATGCTGACTCGTACTCTTCCGCAGCCGATCCCGTTCAGGACCTTTATCTTCGCGAACTCCGCGCCTATAAGCCCGCACCGTTGAAGCCATCCGACGCTGATGCTTACGTGCAGAAATTCGTCATGCCCACACCCCCTCCATCTCCAGAGGAGGCAAACATTGCTGCGGAGTTGAAGGCATATGAGACCCAAGAAGTCGAAGTGGAGGGTCAGGCTGCCCCTGGAGAGGCCGCCGTTGAGGAGGACTGGTTCGAGCTGCCCGAAGAGGAAGCATCTCCCGCCCACTAAATATACTTGTGTAAAAATAAAGGGAGGATGGTGATAGACAATGGAATACGCATCCCAGAATTGTACAATTACAGCCTCCATACGCATACATTCCAGTTTTACTCGTTGATACAATCCCTTCTTGGTTTTCTATGCTGCAAATCCTGCGAGTAAATTTTCTTCGAGGGCCGATGTTTGTGTCCTTCAACTTTACGCAGAGTCGGCCGTCCGAGGAGGGACCCATGCCTGGATATTAGCCTCAAAAAAAGGGGTGCCCGCGGCCCTTATGTTAAATCGCAGAGGCTAGAAGACCTGCAAGCTTTGGAACTCTCGAATGACAACAGTTTGATTGACCAAGCGGCTACCCCGTAGAGTTATAGGATTATTTCGACAGGATGGATCAATATACATTGCGGTCGGCCTTTCGTGCGTATAGGGGTGCACCGCCTCAATACTCGGACAGATGTCCACGCTTTTGCGGGCGCATGAAATTTTTTCGGTGAGGATTAAACGGCTCTTCCGGAAAGTTATCATGGCTGCCGTACTCCGTCCTTTCAGGTAAATTCTCGCACTCCGTACCCCGTAGCGTGCCTCAAACCAATTCTCTAAGTGTTTTTTCCCGTCTCACCGAGTTCCAAAGATCAGCAACGGGACCGTCGACATAAGATCGCTCCTCGCTTTTCATTGGCCAGCGGCCCGCGTGGAATTTTTATTGGGCTGTCTGGCTCAAAAACCGCAAACAGGCCCTTGGGGCGGGCTTGCATGGTATTGGCATATTGGTCGCTTCTGGGAACCGTCCGCGGGTAATTCCTTTGGGCGGGAGGATACACCCGCCCTGCTTCTGATTTGAAATAAAAAAATCATTCAGCCCCGATATGTGGCTGAAGATCAGGCTCTCGGACGGAGACTTGGCTTGCATTTAGCCCCGTAATATCGTCGCTTGGCGAAAGGCCGCAAGGTTGTGAAATCGCCCGATTGTCACGATCTTCCTGCCACCAAGCGACCCCGGGCGGGCGAGTGTAGAGTGAGTTGAGTGAAAAGAACAATATGAACGGAGGCCATCGTTAGATCAGGAACTGCTTCCTGCTTCAGAGTTGTCAGTGCTGTGATGCTGTTGTCCATGATGATGACATGGCTCTCCACCCAGCGCAGATACGAGCATTGGACAAAATCCACCAATGTGGGCTTTTCATCAAATCAAAAGCCCCGAAGAAGTCAATTGGCAAGCCCGTAACTTAATCTCCTTGAGCTAACAGAGTGGCGTCCGTTGCTGCGACTCACTAGTTGGTGAGGCTCAATGGCGGGTTTCTTGAAGTTCGAGAGTTGGGTGAGTGAATATTAAGATCTTCTGACGTCTAAATATAGGCCGCCTTCCTGGTTCGACATCATCATTCCCATGATCACAGGTTTGGACAGCTGGGCTTCTCTTTCGTTACTCTCGGAGGCTTTTATTTTCTTCTTTTTCCCTGTCAACATATGGCCCAATAGAAATTAGTTAACTAGCACTCCGGAGTCCTCCGTGGACTCGTGGTAATCGTTGCTGGGTCTCTCGACGCCTTTCTCTTTGTTGCGTCCTGGGTTGCTTTATGCCCCTAGCCTGCGTCTCAGCTTCCCGCCTCTAAATCTCACCCTTGCAGTCCTTTTTATTTCCCCGCCAAGCTTGTCCTTGAAGTTTTCTATGAAACGATCCCAGATCGAGGAGAAGTGACCAGAGTCTCCATCTCCTTTTTCCCGGTAACGACTAGGAATCGATCGGTGGGCCTTTCTGAAAGTGTGTATAACTAACCCTGCCCTTAGAACACGGCCGTCATCACTCGTTATCTAATAGCTGAGAACACCCGTTGGTTCGCGATCTTACTTTCTTTCAACTGCCCTGTGCTCGATCTACCATTTTTTTCATCTTCCACTACAGGAGCGGTTCACTCGGAGATCCCAAACCGTCGCCGATTCCATAATACAGAGCAAACTCGATGGTGTGAACGTGGACTGTCCACTGCCATACTGTTGGAGAGCGGGTCTCTCCAAAGCCCAGGCTTTGACGATTTTGAATTCCCCCTCTTCCGTCTACACAATCGTCGTTCGACGATGCCTTCTTTCAGAAATGGTGGAGAACATGGTGGTAGTTCATCTCAGCTGACACGCTCAGCGAGCTATAATTGCGTTCCAGAACTGAACCCAGGCGGAGAGAGCAACTCCATGAGAAAGACACTTTCGGAAGTGAATTTGACACACTCCGCGGACCAGCAGATTGCCTCCCAACACACTGGTGATTTTGTATCCGGAAAAGAGGTATTACGTCAATCCTCTCTCCGCTCTAAACGCAAGAAAGGCCCTGTATTTACACTGGGGGTCGATGACGAGAACGGGATTAATTCTACTAGCGAAAAAGGTGCTAGAACTCCTGAACGTCCACGCAGGACGAAGGCTGTAACGGGCGCTCTCGCAAGTCTAACTCGCAGAACATGGAAATCCTCAAGGTCGCCGTCACCATCTCAGACAAACAGAGACGATAAACAGCGTCCGGGGCTCGCAAATGGACGAACTTCATTTGAATCTGACCCGCCAGCGCAGGATGGCACGCCTGCGGAACCAACCAAAGAAAGTGGAAAACATCCAGGCACCGACCTAGCCAGGGCCCCCAGTGTCCTAACAAAGCGGAATCGACGGCCACTCAGCACGGTTGTAGCGAAAGAGCAGAGTGACGCCTCGCCAGTTATCACCAGGACCCCGTCCCTTCAGTCGTTATGCCGAAAATCATCCTTAGAAAGGTTGGCAGCATCTGTCGGCTTGTCCAAAACGGATATCCCTCCAATTCCGCAAAACCCTCCATCGAATGCGACTAAAAGAAAACCGGAACAGCCACGGAAAAAGGATGAGCTATGGAATGTTTTCAGAGGTCTCGATGCGGATTTTCAAAAGTATGTACCTAGCTGGCTTTCGTCAATCAACAACCCCTGGGCTAACATCTCCAAGATACCAATCAAAATCGAGCTCTCTCAAAGTGAACGTGATCCGCTCGTCCCTTCTTCCATGTCTTGCACGATATGCTAAACACCCGTCCAACAGCTGCCTGCGGCCCGAAGACCTGGATCGCCGCGTGAATATTTTAAATAAATGGTGGACTGGGCTGCTGGAAACGCTTAGTGGCAGGACTAGCCATTCTATCACGGGAGTAGACCGGCCGGTCTATCTTGAAGCAATTACAGCCATTATGATGAGACCGGAATGGCGGATTCCAACCTCCCCTAATTCTCCGGGTGCAACTCCAACTCAAAAATCAGATCTCACGCAGAAATCAACCACATCTCTCGAGTCTACTGGGTCCGATTTTCTGGTGGAGTCAATCCATCATAACATTCGTAACATTCTATCCCAAAACCTGCTCTCACAGCTGGCTTATTGCGTTGACAAGATGTCCACAAGGCACACCCCTGCAAGCCTGGTTTCTTTTGCCGGAAAATCATGTGCATACGGCTTCTTTTTCTGTCGTGACGTGTGCGATTTACTCGTACGACTGTGGAATGCTGGTCCCGATTTGCTCAAAAGGGTGACAAGCCAGTTCAAAACAGAAGGCAATCCTGCAACCAGAAGCGCAATATCTGAGTATATTGTATCTTGCTTTCCGCCAGCTGTAAGATCCCTAAGTTTTACCTCGTATGCGGCTCTTGTCCGTAACTTGCGGCGTAACGTCTCCATTCCCTTGGCCGCTTCGAATATCAATTGGTTTGGACCGTGGGTTTCTCGCTGGTGCGGACGGGATACGGACCTGTTTTTCGTTTTCGTGAAACACTTTCATATTCTTGCTGCGGAATTCTTGCCAGCAGGAACGGATTTATCAAGGCGTGTTTACGTTCCTGGGTTAGTATTGGTGCATGCTCAGATGCTCGCGGTCTTAGAGAGTACACTCAGCAAACAGTCGAACCCACAGATTCCAGAAAATGCCCATGGCGCTACGTCCACTACATTTGAAGATTTCATTGATGGGGCAGAAGCCACGGCCACAGGATTCCCTTTAGGAGCTACTAATTCGCTGCGAATTATGTCGGAAAATAGGCTCATATTGATACTGAAGAATATTCTGCTCGATAACTCAGTTCCGGCGGATACCAAACAGTTCTTCCTTGAGGCGTTCTGTTCGATCCTCAAGTTGGCCGCTCGAAAAACCTCCCTTTTTGACCATGGTCCATGTTTTGTTCTCTGTGACTTCGTTGAAGAGCTTGTGCCTATCATTCCTCCCTATTGTCAATCGACTGGTCAACCTGATATCTTGGACTGGGATTTTTGGCTTGAGGTTTGCAAGCAAATGATGAAGAGCAAGCACATCGTCACAGAAGTGCGGGCTTTTGCTTTTATATTTGCTGCTTGGGAAGCCATCAACCGGGACGAGCGAAGGAAAGAGCAGCTATGCTCAGGCTTATTATTACAGCATCAAGTCTTCCATCACTATTTCAGCCATTGGAGCCCCATGGTCCGTGCTTATTTCCACCGTTTGCTATGCTGGAGGCTGGCGCGATTGAGCGAGCAACCTTCGTCTCTAGATAGGTATGTCCCATCAGCACTACGGTGTGTTCTGACGCTGAGTACTAAAACCTCGTAGGCGAATCTACAGCGATTTGTCTAGCCGATTAGGAGCTGTCTGGAATTACTTTCTTGCCTACCAATCTAGAGCGGAAAAGCAGCTTACGGCTCCCTTGTCATCAGTTCCCTGCAGCCCGGCCCCTGGACGCCGAATAATTATAATAAGAGACGATGCTGCTCCGCCGCCAACTAGCCTTTTCGTGTTCTTGGATGATGTTCCTTCGGCAACAGACCGCCTGAACGCTTCCAGTGAACAAAATCCTATCCAGGCTAGTAATGCTACAACTACCACTACACCAGCACAGTCGCAGCCACCAGCAAAGAAACGATGGAAGATGCTAAGGTCGATATTCGGGAATAGCTCCAACCCAAAGCCCGGTGAAGTAACTCCACCCGGCAGTAGTTGTGATGAGTCCGATGATCTGGGTGGATCGAAGTCTGAATTCAACGCTTCATCAGCGGATCCGAGGCATACCGAATCAAATGGATCTGACTTGGAAGAGACTTCGAAACCATATAGAGCATATACATTCCGATTCTGTCTTGAGTGGGTGGATCGTCAACGGTGCCTCCCGAGAAACAGAAGGCTTTTTCCGCCATCCTTACCTACCCAGACTCAAATCTACCTTCAAGCAACTCGCAAAACTGCTGTTGGCGGTTCGGACTCTGGATCAGGTTCAGGGTCCGGACCGGGATCCGTCTCTAATTCAGTTTCTGAGACCAGCTCTGTTCTCGAATCTGATACTGATTGCATGGAAGAATCCTTGAACGCTATGGCTCTTAATGCCTCTCCCTGGGCCGTCTCAGCGTGTCCTATCGTCAAAGAGATCTCATGTTCATCCAACCCTCAGCATACTGGTAACCGCTGTTTTGTTGCAAGCAAATATGCTGGCCGAGCGTTGGCAGAATGGGGATTAGTCGTCTCTGAGTGCGATTGCTTCTTCCAGAGACGAAAAGACGAGGGTGTTCCCTGTGATAACTTAGTTGAAATTCCGATGTTAAGCGTCGACAGCTTTAGGAAATAAGGTGCTTGTAAATGGCATCGAAAGCTGCTCCTCGCATCAAAATACTCACACACGTTTACACCATTTTTGAATTCTGCAAGGCGTTTTTAGAGGTCCACCAAAGGCGATCACCATTAACCAAGCATTTAAGCACGTACGAAGCTTCTTGTTTTGCCAGTCAAGCATATTCTTTTGGAATTCTCACGTTCTCGAGTATTCTATTGCTCATGTTTTCATTCTGCCTTGTCCATTGGCTCTATGAGAACAAGAGAAGCGTCAGGAGAGAGCATTTCCCCGTTTTAGTCCTAGAGTTCTTTTAGCATCTAGGATAACTGCACATTGGGTCAGTCCTTTACCTTCGCATTTTGACCTTCTCTTCTCGGCTTGTGGCACTGTCTCTTTCCCATTTCTGGCCCATGTCCTATTTATTGTTCTATTATACGGGTATACCGATTTTAATGCCTTTCCTTACCTTTTTCATTCATATTGTGAATGGGGTATATTGGTTACAGTACCGTTGGGCGTTTGCATACTTTGATGGCGCTGGGGATCGTGGGTCCGTTCGATTTTGTCATTTAAGCCCCTAGCCGACTGGACAAGGATTCTGTTCTCCTCTTAGCGATGTTCAGATATTCAATCCCCTGGCTAAAGATTGCATGAGGTCATTATGGTTTGGAATGGAAAGGAAACTAAAAGAAAACAATTATTATTCGAATCATTGGCTTTTTTGAAGAAAAAGTTTCACTTGGGAAACAGTCGCTCCGGATATATGGTCGTGCTGATACCGGTTGGTCCATACCTATGTCAAAACGTCTGGTGTCCGAATCCGACCCAACCCGTCCTATGCATATATCAGGCCATGGATGTTAGATATACAGTATTATCACACGTATGGCCGTGCATTGCCAACCAACACGGAGGAATAGAACGTCTATATACTTATGCAATAATGCAAAACTGTCAATGGGAAGGAGCATAAGGATCAAGAGCCAGAAAACTCAGTACAAAATACACTAAGGTGGAAAGACTGAAACTATTACTTCGTCGGGTCCTTCAAGATCACTTCTGGGGTGAGATCAGCGACAGGCTCAATATCTTTCTCTTGCGGTTGTGCTTGGGTCATGTCTTTCTTGGTATCAATCATTCTTGACGTCTCTTCTTTCTCTGGTGGCACGGTTGTTAGGTCCGTCTCTGAAGCTGGATCAATTGAAGACGGCTCAAAAGGGGGCCCCGTGCTAGTTTCCGGGGACGTCTGTTCTGAAGTGGGATGCAAAGGTGATTGAAATTCGAGGTGCTCTTGCACAGAAAGGTCGGGCTCGGGATTATCCATTGATGTTGGCGATTTTTGTTCTTCCACCAACTTTTGGTTCTCTGTTATCTGGGATTCTGGTTCAGGGCTCCTCAAGATAACTGACTCTTCGATCTTCAGTTGCTCCGGCGGTAAAGCTTCCTTGGACCGATCTGGAGACGGTCCTGTCTTGCAAATACTCTCTGGCTTTTCGTTCTCTTGACACAACATTAACGCCCCGTCGGGTCGCATAGACCAAAGGCTCCATGGCTCGACCAGTGTTACTTGGGGAGCTCGGGTCGCTTCGACCTTCGTCGTATCCTCTGGGGGAGAAGAAACCGCAGGCTTCCTTCTCGCAGGACCCCTTGCCCTGCCTTTACGCGCATCGCTCAACGGTCCCTTCGGGGCCTGCGGTTTCTCCTCTTCATTCTTCTCCTGTGGTTTGGGTGCCTGCGGTCCAAGCTTCAGACGATTATCCAAATCCGATAGAAACCCAGCCTTTAACGCTGCAATTTTAGACCCAAGAGGACGCGATGGAATCGGTGGTTTGGGTTTCACGACAGGCGGAGAGGCCGTGTCGTTAGACGTGCTCGATTTTATTTTGGACGAGCTATCCCCAGAAGTTCGTTGAAGGGGTCTGGGGGGTCTTGGCGGAATCTGAGGCTTAGGACGCTCGGGAATGGCGGGGGGCTTCTTGGCATCGGTTGGCAGCAGAGTAGATTCCGCTTGGACGGGTGGAGATTGGCGCTCCGGCGAAATCCGTTGCGGTCTCTTGGATGGACGAACAGGGATTCCTGGAGGCGACGCTTTCTCCGTATTTTCTGCTGGAATCGCTTCGTTTTGCTGTTCTGCAATCTGCACAGTGGCTTCCAGTTGTTGGCTTTCTGGTGCTTCCTCCCAGATGTCTTTGCTTGAGAAGCTCTGTTTAACACCAGGTCTTGCTGGCACATCATCTGACGGGCCTGAAGATCCTGTTGACGCTGAACTTGGCTTCCTTTGTATGCCCTGCCGAAGCTTTGCCATTTCTTCCTCGGCAATTTCGACGGGGGATTTATTCTCATCTTTCGGGCTTTCTGCCATCGAGACCGTTGTTTGCAATTGTAAGCTATCTGGAGCATCTTCCCATATGTCCTGGCTCGGAAATTTATGTCGGTGATACTCCGGCTCTTTCTTGAGTTGCTCCTCCGCCGGTAAAGGCTTCTTGTTCTTACCATCGTCGGGGAAGAGTGGCTCATACTCTTCGACATCCTCCACGGGTTGTCTCATATCTTCACCTTCTCCAGTCCGTGAGTTATATGACGACAAGGTTGGGCTAGCAAGCGGTTTGATCGGTACTCGGTTGCTACCAACACTAGGAGACCGAGTATGGGTCTTGCGCTCGGGTGAATTTATAATATGAGAAACTAGAGTTGGGGAGACTGCTGGTTGCAAATGTTCAGCACGTTCATCGACTTCATCTTCAGCAAGTATCGGTGATTCTTCCCCATTTTCCTCCAATGAATCACCGCCATGTGGCTTATGGTTGTCTGATGCAGGCATAAACCCATCCGGGTGGTGCTGGTGGTGGATTGGTTCATCTATATGGATTTTGACCTCCTCTTTGTCGTGATCGTTTTCTTGGGCGGTAGAGTTTTTCCGTAGCGATTCAGGAGCCGGTTCTAGACCTTGGGCAACATTTTTGCCCAATGGTGATCCACGTGACGGCAATTTAAAGCGTGAAGCAAGTTCTTCAGTAGCTATATAGCCAATCTCCTCCTCTGGTGTGCATATAATCTCTGCAGAAGAGTCTAACATCGTTAGCTCGGGCTAAATACGCACAAGGGGAGACATCCTTACCAATAGTTTTTTGTGCGGACAACTTGACTATCTTATTTAAATCTTCACTAGACATAGCCCACTCAGGTCGGGGGCTTCCATTCCCAGGGCCATAGTGAGTTTGTTCTTCACGGGTAAGCTCCTCAGGGTGTTTGTCGTACCAAGCCTTTTCAAACTTATCGTTCATATGAACTCCGTGGCCGTGAAGCCCGTAACTACTAGGTGGAAGCCACTCCAACCCACTTCTATTTCGGGCCTGCTGTCGCCCTTGTCGCTGAGAAACGGAGCTCTCGCTACTTAATGGCTCATTATGCGCGCCTAAAGGTGCAGGGCTCGGCGCTTGTACATAACCAGCATTCGGTATCATGGGAACCCGTTGACCAATTTCAGAAACACCCTGTTCATCTCCTGGATGTAAGGATTTGCGTTGCTCAGCGGACGGTTCGCGCTGGGAATCGAGATACTTCACTTCTTCGTCACTGGGTGAAACCGCTTTTCCGAAGCCTGCAGCTGCAGCTTGTCGTGAATCCGTTCTGGTGACAACTTCCACCTGAGCCTTGGCACTAGTATCTGGTAAAGATGGCCTTGGCGCATGGAGGTATAGATCCCGGTTAACACTCCTGGTCTCTACTGGTTGCTGTATCTGGTCATCATCTTCGCCTCCTTGCATGCTCTGGTACTCTGCGCCTTCATATTCGATCCTTTCTTGTCCAATCGACGGAAGCGCTGCGACACTGGGGGGTCGAGAAGGGCGGTCATCGTTTGAAGCGGTAGCCTCTCCGGGTAGAGCGTTTAGTGGTGAAGGTGCAAATCTATCGGGCTTTGGAGAGGTAGATTGGTCGGTCCGGCGTTTTGTTGGGCGGGGTGGAATCTTCGGAATATCTGCGTTGGGCGGAGATAGGGTATTTGGCGAACGACTCGGCCGAGGAGGTATCGTTGGAGGAACCCTCATTGCCATTGTGAATCGCTAAATAAACAAGCAAGATGCTGTTAGGTGTTATTAGTAACCGGTCAGATTGTAGCCACTAAATGATGCACAATGCAATCCATCCAGAGCATCAATGTTGCTGAGTATGTAGCTGTGCCACCACCGTATCACAGCAATTCTAGCAGCCATGATGCTCACAAAATGCTGTTAATTCTTTGCCGGTTCTGTAGGACATAAGTTTCAAGTTGTGAAGCTTGTATGCCGTCTGTTTTGTAGACTCGAGATGTTCCACAGAGCAAAGGATGGTGGAGCTTCGACTTTCAAGTGGCATCTTCTTTGAGACAATAGAGGGAGACTGAATGTAGAGAAATATCCAAAGACCATCTTATCATAGATGAGTCCCAACTGCTTACCTACGTATATAAGATTGCCCAGCAAACGGCCCCTAAATCAAGGACTCTAGGCAACAGACTGACGTAAGTATATATGCAACCAAAAAGCACGACAAGAAGCGATATCAGCAGTTTAGGGCCAATATCCAGTTGAGATTGTTAGAGATGCATATCATATCCATAAGTACAGCTATAAGTAAACCACTCCTAACTTCATGTCTTGTGTTCTGAGTCTTGATATCGGTTGAGCACAACGGCGGAGGTTCACGACGAAGCTTGCAAGGTGACAAGCCACATGACATAAGCATGTCTTGGGGTTGGTGTGCCACTTGTAATTATGGGTTATGATCGAATGTCAGTTACCGTATTAAGAATGAACACTAATGATGATTGGCTAGTAAGTTTCAGGTACAGTATGTTCATGACAGCCCGGCAACTGTGGCGACGCACGTAATGCTGTCTGTGGATGGTGAAACAGGAGGTGGAAGAAGCGCAAGATCGAATCACACAACTCGAAGGCTTGGTAGAAGCTCTGCAACTTTGCCCTCAATCCATGTGGACGGATGCAAACCCATCTGAGCGCGAAAGAGGGGCTGTCCTGACCGCGATCATGGTGATTCCGCATTCAAGGTAAGACATGAACATGAATATTGAAAAACCAAGCTTGGTAGTTAGCTCGAGCAAGATTATACTACAGAGTGTGGAGCAAATCTCCATTCTTTGGTGCTCTACCAATTATCCTCCTTAGTCTCAAACACAAGCTATTTAACAAAAAAGAAAGAAAATCATGTATCTTACCTATACATCTGGACTGGAAAAAACAAGTCAAAACGAGAAAAGAACCATCCCAAACAAGAGCCTGAAAACCAGAAAAGTATGCTGGAATAAACAGTAGGGCAACTATCACTACCTTCCAGTGCCATCTCACATATGTTAGACACCAATCTTTATTGAGTACATCATACAAAGGCGTAGCATTTAGCATCCAGGATCGGCATTAGACAATCATCTGAGCGACCCCTTGGCCACCAAGCGTTTTACTGCTCGTAAATTCTTGCTTCATCAGTGCCGCCAGAAGATAGAAGAGTCCAGCAATTGCCAAAAAGACAGCAACAGCAATTAAGCTCGATGGATCAATGACAAGACTTATCCAAAGGCCGCCACTCATAGCAGCATAAATAGCGGCGCGCATAAAGTTTGTGGTGAAGCGACGAATGAAGGCATCAAATTTTGAGGACGTGGGACAGATGCGAAGGAGGAACGGAACTTCGATGAAAAGGAGTAGCGGAGAGTAAACCCTGTAGCATCTGTTAGTTGGATCGGAAATTGTCTCAATGGGTGGCATATGATACTAACAGGGATATAATGCCGAAAACAATAAAACGAGAGAAAACACTTGCAAGGCCAATTGCAAAGGAGAGTATTATGCAAATAACTCCGGTCCTGGGGTACCAATTTAATGTTAGCAAAAGGTAAATCTACCGAAGGAAACGAGAGGGGATGAAGCTCAGCGTGTACCATTGTCCATAGATGCCTGCGACATGACTATAGTCAGCAATCTATATTCGGCATAAAGTAGAGGAACCGGCTCGGATTTTGGTGGGCCAGGCAGCTGGCGAAAGGGCACTCACTGAAGTTTCTTGATTTAAACTCCTCAGCAAGACTCATTGTGAACGGAAGATGAGTGCAAAGGTGCTGCAATAAATTCGGTACGAAAATGCGATCTGGCCTAAGTTCGAGCTATCAAGCCTGCTAAAGTAAAAGGTGGCGATCGTTACAGTCGTTGTCAGAGGTCTTGAGATTCGTAGCTATGCGAAGATGTGTAGGCCCAACTGCTTGTCTATTAGCAGTGAGTACTTGATGGTAGGATTGCATTGTCAGCTAGTGAGCTGTTGGTGGAGCAACGTTTGGCAGACTTCTCAGGAAATGCATACAGAGGGCGCCTACCTAGTCCAGCTGGAAGAAAAGGTGCAGAAAGGACGTGCAAATTTCGTGGAGCCGGTTTGTTCGTAAGGAACGAGCGATCGCTGATGCCTCCAGTGGTTATCGCCGAGCCGGATATCTGACCAGGTGGCTTGAACTGGTGCGAAAGGAGCTCTTTGTTCCGGGATCTTCAGTTAGGACTCAGAGAAATCACAAGATACTGGGCTAAAAACGAGTGCCTGCAAAATGAGGGCTTCCTTTTTGCAAAAGTCCTCTGGACGTTGTTCGTTGCTGAATTTGAGACAAAACGCTGCGTGACATGGAAGAGATACGATGACCTCTAAGCCGACCAAGCCACAGCTTGCGCTTGCTTCTTGCGCCAAGCGTGCTGGCACCTTCGGCGGAACTTCCTAAATCGGGACTAGCGCATTGTTGGTTCCGCAGTCCATGTTTTTGACCACGGCTTGACAAGCGTGCAGGGTTGACTGCGCAAACAAATGCCGCATTCATTGTGTGAATCCTTGAGACTATGGGGAAAGGATGTGGTCACCGACACTCTCAATGGGCAGACGGGAAAATCCCAAATGTCACAGCAGGACCCACTAACTTTGAGATATCATCCATCTTAAAATTTCCTCTCTCCGTGCCGAGGTGAAGGAGCTACAGCAACTACAATATCCCAGGCGCGGCATCTAATTGAAATATGCCACAGAATTTGATACCCTCATAGCTTGGAACTCAATTGTTGAACAACGACAACCCTGCCATTCCTCGGACAGATGGCCGAGCCAGACTAGCACGATCAATATCAAAGTGGTCGAGCTCAGCCAGTCCTCAAGCAAGTCTATTTTGTATTTAAACAGAAATAAAGAGTTGATGTCATCCAATTCAAAAAAGATTCTGTGACGGAAACATCCTCCCGGGTCGAGAACAGCCACTTACCCGCGAACAACTACTACAGATGCTCTGCCATGTACTTCCCCAGCCCTTCAAAGCCTTCTTGAGTAATCTTTCGTCCTGCAAGGCGATTTGAGAAGGCCATCATTCTCTGAAGGCTATAGTCACTCTCGTGGCAAATCAATCCATACAGCATGCCGGCGATGAAAGTGTCGCCCGCCCCGACCGTGCTGCGAAACGAAGGAGAACAGTAAGAAAGCTTGTCTTTTAGCTGAAGAGGAGAAGGATTAAGGAATCAAAGATGTCCCACGTACTCAACAATTGGAACTTTCGCATCCATATATGCGGGCGAATGAATATACTCCATGCAGCGCTTGTCGAGACATACCGCTCCCTTTTCGCCCCACGTACAGCACAAGATCGAACTAGATCACTATCAGCCCCGAAATAATACAGCCCCAGCGCACGACAATGGTGACTGGATAAGAAGAATCGTACGATTTAGATGTTACTGATGATTGTGCTTGCAAGAGATCGTCGGGCGATTGATAGCCATGGCCCTATGATGGGTGATATAGTTTAGTAAATCCATATTCCCACTGTTCAATGAGAAATTAGGATTATTGGTTTTACCTGAGCCCAGCTTTTAGAATAGAAGACCACGTCTGCTTCGACAGCTAACTCTTGCAAACCTGCACGACCTGGCTTTTCAATCTCCACACTGATCTTGTCAGCAGGAAAATTCTGACGGATATGTCGTATACACTGCAAAGTCACATCTGGTATACGGCCCTGGGGAAGAAAGTTAGTATCGCAATCAATATGTACTTGGGACGACTAGGACCTCTTGTTGACGGCTTATCAAATGTGCCCCAGACCACTCACTTCAAAATGAAACCATTTTGGACCAGCGGGCAGACTATCTGCTATTCGGGTAAACTCATTGATGGTCATTTCTGGAAGTTGATTGTCGTTGACAATTGTCCTGGTGCCAGAAGACTGACTCCGAATGATATAACTGGACCCAGGCTCGCTGAACGCCTCACGGTATATGCAGTGCTGAAGGTCAACCTTCGGAGCCAAGGAGGCCTCAACCACCTTTACGGCAGCCGAAGATTTCGCAGGCAACACTGCCACAGCATAAAGGGGCATATGAATTTGTTGAACACCCATGCTTGGTCTGCATTCAAGTAGCTGCTGAAGGACGACCAGTGAGTTAGCGGTGTTCCCACCGAGTCGTCGTGAGACACTCGCCGCACGCAGCTTCTCATCTTCACTGGGGTAATGATCAACTCTGTATCCAAAGTGGATATCAGTAACAGAATTGGGAAGCACTGGTGATGCGTCATCTCACGTTATTATTGTGTCAATGTAGCACGCCCCGACCGTCACGAGAACAGTCATAGTCAGGGATGATGCTCTGGTGTTATGCCTATCTCCTTGATATTTCGGTAGGCTATGAAATCAAACACAGATATGGGCTGTATGGAGCAAAATTCCTCAAAAGGGCGACCTCAGGGTTGAATTTCGTTGTCAAATGTTCAAGCAGTAGATGCGAGCCGACGAGCGAAAGCGCGTATTTTGCTCCACAACCTCAACAGCCTCTGTTGTATCTTCGCAGCATTGGGATAGCTCGGAGAAATATTGGGAACACCATTACTGTCTGGCAACTAACTACTAGAATAGTCACAGGACCAAGGTGAATATTATGCGTTAGTTTAAAAGATTCTTGAGTCAATTCTTCGGGTTATTTAATGATAGCATTCGTACCTGTACATTAAACTAAGGATCATAACGATAATTGGAATCTTTTTAGTTAAGATCGCTGGGTCTACATTTGAAGCCTATCCATTAGATGCATGCCCATACCAGATATAAGAAAAGACGAATGTATAAGGCTGTGAGTGTTAACTACAGTAGTCGCTAAGGGGCTAGGGCCAGGGCTTGAAGGTAAATGCTAGTGCGAGGAGCTTTGGTAGAAACTATAGTTCGTCGAAAAGCGTGCTCAGTGAAATATTGATCCCAGACGGAGAGGCTGCTGCAGTCCCTATTTTGCTCCAGGAATGTACGATCATTCCGGCCTTGAAGCGCGACAGACCACCAGTGCTTGGAAAGGAAATGTAAATGACACACAGGGGGTGTATTTGCACATATTTAATCAAAGTGGAAATTGAAGGATCTGTTTGTCACGGGAACTGATTCGATATTGGCCAAGCTTGCCATCACACCATTCCAAAGTGACCGCCGGTCAATGGGGGTTACTGATAAATCCCATTCCGGTCGCTTCTCTATACAGTCTTCGCCGTGTCGCATAAAATTCCAATCATGTTATTATGAGTAGACGAGGCGGAAAATGTCATTAAGCACGAAGTAGCTTCCAGCTCCGTCTGGCAGAAGTTGGAAAGTCTGGGAGTAGCTCAAAGGTTTTTGCTCTTCATCGACCTGCAGGACCATGCGATTAGCATCCACACGCTATTCAATCGACTTTCGAATCTATATATTATAAACAGGTACAGAGCTATAACTCACCAAAAGAGCACCGGTGACCATGACCAGAATTCCGCCGTCACGGGTAGGCTGGGCATCCAAAGTTGAAACTCGATGGGCTACCTTCTGGAATGGGAGGCCCTATATCACAAACAATATCAGTAATGCATATCCCACTATCATATTTTTCTACATGCTGGGAACTGACTTCCAACTTCTCGGCGATACCAGTAGCACCCTGGACTGAGGAGGTTTCAAAAGTCAACATAGACTCATGGCGCTATTCATTGTGTAAGTATTCCACGTTCTGTCCATAAAATCTTTCCTTCTCGGGAGCTAATATCATACGTATAATGCGGTAAGATTCGCCCGATTTTCATCGAAGGTTTTGTAGTAAAATTCAACAAATTGCTCTAGTCAAGTTGATATCAGTCGCTAGAGCCCAATCTTGGCAGATCCCACACTCATAGCTATGTCGGAGGAGATAACACGGATTCAACATACGAGCAACGCCTTGGAAGTCTACCGTCATAGAAGGCAGGCGTCAGCATCTCATCGTTATGCCCTTTAGGCCCATTTTCTCACAGTCTGCGAATCGCGCAGAGCGCTTCGCGAGGACCGGGACGGACAAAGATGACCGATCCAGGAAAAGGAATAAACTCACCTGCCATTTTGCCTTGATATGATGCACGAATCACCCTGGTAATCACACTTTGCCGATCAGCTTGTTTTGGGTGTTGATGTAGCTTTGTGAACTTCAAGACGACGAGAGGACGAGATGGCGGGGTCGTGAGTGGGGTGGGATTTTCGCAACATCCAAACTCGCTTGGCGGGATCTTTTCCCAAGGCTACAATGCCCAGAGATGACGATACCTATCAATGTACCTACCTTGCGGCCTAAATAAAACCTTATGCTTACTTTCGACAGTTCTTCAGAGGTTACATGGAATGGGAAATTCGGAAGGGACAAATAAAAAATATACTAACTAATTTTTTTTTTTTTTTTTTTTCCAACTCATAATGATAGCTAGCGGGTATCAAGAAATGGATTCACCAATCCCCTATTCAGAATCCGAATCTGCAAACATATCTTCTGCCTTAGGCCGCCGGCGTTTGGCTGGAGGTTCAGGCGTTGTCGGCTCGGGTTTAGAGGGTTGTTTACCTTCCACAGGCATCTCAGAATCCTGGTCCTGGCCTTCAGGGGATTCATCATTCAAAGGCTGGCCATCGACATCCATATCAGAGTCCTCCATAGGAATACCGTCAATGTCCGACATTGATTGGGCATCAAGGCTTTCCTCATCCAATATCGGCGCTCCATCGATATCCATATCTATATTCTCGTCGTCCATGGTTGGTTCAACAATGCTTGTATCCGTGTTCCCGCCAACATCTTCCACCGACCTCCACTTGCTTTTCCCCTTTCCACCAAACGCAGCAGCACTCTTCTCGGCTTCTGCTCTCGCTTTTTCTTCCGCAATCTCCTTTTCAGTAAGGGGTGGCTGTTCAAACACTTGCACAAAGTGCTCGTGGCTTGATTGGGGGAAAACACACCAACTTTCCCAGAGGCCCAGTAAATTCCCAATACTCCGTCTCCATTTTTCTACTTTTAAACGTCCCCATCCTAGCTCCTTTTCAAGACGTCCGAGATGCTCGAATACCTTGTGGTTCTTGAGCGCCGTCTCAAATAACTGTCTGTAACGCCAAGCATGACGAACGCCACTTGTAGATGACGAAGATAAGATGTCCGATATAATATATAGCCCCACTAGTTTGGCTGGTGATTTGTCTACCTTCTCTTTGGATGCAGGCTTCAGATTTTGTTCAGAGGCCTCGCCGTCCCCGTCGCCCTCCTTAAGCTGCATATTCTCGTCTATCTTTGCATTTAGGGCCTCGGATTCATCGGGTTGTCTGTCGGGATTCGCCGCAGTATAAGCCAAGGGGTGCTTAACATTAGAAACGATCAGATTGACCACTTCATCGCCCCCTTCTCCCGCATGATTAATTGCGAATGACGTAACGCGCGCGACGTCGCCTCGACGAAGCTTCGTATTAGACGTCGGGAGCCTTGCAAGCAGATGAACTAGCTTCGCCTTTTGGAGCGGATTCAAGTGACCGATTCCGTCATTGGATTCATTCGATACCTCTGCCATCCGCCTCTCCTCTTCTCTATCAGATTCATCGTCTTCAGAAGAGTCGTAATCTTCATCGGAGACAAATTGGTCTAATTGGGTTATGAACTCGAAATCCAATTTCTTTTCCGGCGCAATCCAGCTTGGACCGTTTTCAAAGATATACGTTGGAGCACCGCGTATCCGATTCGTCTTGTTATTCTTTTTTGAATTTGTAAGAATATCCCATAGTTTCCATCTGTACCATACACCGCCCACACTCCTGGGATTCCATATCCATGCCCACTTCTCTTCTTTCTGCACTTGTGAACGGCTCATAAGAAGAGCTTCAAACTCAGGTCCATAAGTTAACAGATTTTCCAGCGTCTTGTGTATTAATTTTAGCTGTCTTAGGTCGGAAGGTGGCTTCACGTCAACCTGTAATGCGGGACCCCTTGCACCATAGCTAGCGCCGTATGAGGATGGAGGCGCGAAGCCTGAACGATGAGGCCCTGGTGGGCCACGACTAAACGTTCCAGGTCCATGTGATACTGGTCGCGCTCCAAAAGGCTGGAAGGTGAGAGAAGCAAGGCCAGGAGTAACGGGTATCGCAGAGCTAATTGAAGCAGAAGAGAGATGGCGAGATATTGAGAGATAAAATCCCCATCCAAGATACTTATTTTGTAAAGAGCTCACGACGGTATCCATATCAGTAGCAGCGGTCTCTTTGGCCAGCGTGACAATAGCTGACCATATCTTGCGCTCTCCACCACCTTGATTGGCAGGCGGAATGATCTTAACGTTGTCAACCACCAAAACCGGAGGAATAAGAGCCTTGACTACCGCGGGCGATGTCCCTGGAGGTAGCGAGGAAAGATGTAGAGTAGGTTTAGCGGCAGCTCTCTCTTCTTCTTTTTTCTCCGCAGATTTCTCTTCCTCGTCGTCGGATGTTCGAAATGCACTGTCAACCGGCCCAGATGAATTTTCGAAGGCGAAAAGTCCTCGATTCGTGTCACGGTCGCGAGATGACGCTGGATATCCATCATATGTTCTCTTTTTGGAAAACTGGGATGGAGGAGGACCCAAGCTCCCAATTGCTGAGCCCTTCATGGTCCCGCTTGTGAAATGCCGTCTCGCTGGGCCGCCAACGGAGTGCACCGCACCCAGATTGCCATGGCGATACGTATTCGATCTGCCTGCTGTAGCAAATGGTGCCGAAGAATCGCCATCGTTCTCAAATGACTTCACAAAGTCTTCGTAAACAGCTGCGGTTTCGGCTTTTTCTCTGGCACGCTTCGCTTCCGCCTCCGCTTTCTGGCGTTCGAACAACGACTTTTTCGCCGGAGCAGTTAATTTGGACAAAGGTTCAGGGAAGGGCTTGGTCTTCTGATCGTCAGGCATCTTCAATGCCGACTTGTCCCGGGGCACGGATAGTTTGCTGCTTGCGATAAAGCTAGGGTGAGCGTGAAGCTATCTGATGCTTGGTCGCCTCAATGGATGGAGGTTTGGCAGCTGCTGGGGCTTCAAAAATTACACACTTGATTGGCTGGCTAAGCTGCTCGTTGTACTGTATTTACGGAGTACAGATACGCCGTATTGTGTCTTTGGTGCTCTGTTTGGGCTAGGCTAACCTTATTCGTCCTGATGGTTTTCTGCCAGCATCGAAGGGAGCTGGAGCACGAGAAATAATCTTGGTTGTTAAAAAACTAAGCTCGCAGGAATCGTAAAGTGATATCGGTTTTCAATGAAATTAACTACATATGAAATTTGATTGATAGGCAATAGCTGCCCCTGGGTTTCTACATACGTATGTTCCTATCGTCCCCATTCATTCTCATGATTCAAGCATCAGGGCGGAATAGATATGCCGATCTCAGCCCTTCATGAACCAACTACTCAACTCTATAGGTTCAAGCAGAACGAAGAATTCAGCGACCAGGGACCTTGAGACTTGTACCTAAATCAACACTCCTATTCTTCGACTCTAACTTCTTAGCAACGGCTCGCCCTAGAGTCCAGGCAGTTGCACTGCCGAAAATCTCAAATATGGCCACATCGATTTTGAGAAGCCGCGCGCACCAGTTTTGCATCTCAACCGCCATCAAGGATTCCACCCCGTGGATATGCAAGGGCTGAGCCACGTCAAATGAAGCCGGCGATATGAAAAGAGCTCGGCATAGCTTATCCAGTTGGCCACAAGATCGGCTGCCTCAGCTAGAGGCGTAGCTTCCTCGAGCTGCTCTTTAGATCTAGGGCTTACCATGCTTACTGCGACGGTTGCTATCGCTCGCTCGCGGACGAACCCATCTAGTGGAGAATGGCAAAAATTAGCTCTTGCATCTGGTATATGCCGTCTAGGTCACGTTTGCTAGTATCTATAGAAGTTTGAGGCTGTTGATAACTTGCGACTGTGTCGACATAAGCTGTAGGCATTTGAGGCTAACATGCAGTCGCCAGTGAAGCAGCCGGTGTGAATGGACGTGTCCAAGCCAGTAATGTTGGGCGTAGTAGTCTAGCTAGATCTGCCGGTTGGCGATGTGCCAAACTTGACCCGGAAGGTTTACACAGAAAGGGGTAGGCAAGAGTCGGACCATTCTCAAGCGCTCGATATGTGGTTTCGAGGACAATTTCTAGTTGAGAATCCATCCCCAATGCTTTATCTGGTGTTATACCAAAGAGTTTAGAATCGAAAGTGCCCGTGTCGCGATTGACAAAGCAAGCCCTTCGCGGCCAGAATTAAAGTTACACATGGGTAACGTGGGATTATACACAAGGTTGGCGGTTCCCTACTGTGCCCAAGCGAGAATCGTCGACGGCATGATATCTAGTGACGGAGAGTCGGTCCAGAGGGAACTCAGAAGCGACACAGACTCCAGAAGACAGGAGCTCCCAAAGGGAGTTCAGAGCATCGGCTCCAGGGAACTGGAAAGAGAAGCCAATGATAGCAACGTCATGGCTTGTGTCATTGCTATTGAGAGTTTCTTGAGAACGGCAGCCAGGTGAAGAATAGCTGTTACTTTCCAGCGGGTCAAGGGATTTTTGTTCCCATGACTGTATCGAGCACGTTTTCAAGATTTATTAGGAACAAGCTGTCAGGATAGGAGAAGTTAATAAGTTTCCGGCTTGCCCGGTGGAAAATTTAATAATATAAAATGGAAGTCCCAGCCATGTTAGCCATAACGTCGAGAAGCACGCAAAGATTAGCCTGCCTAACAAGCCCTGGAAGCAATTCGCATGTCGCAAGATCAGGACCCGAGAAACGCGGCTGAAGTGAAATTGCCACCGAGCAACAATCTCGTGGACTATCCCCGAGTATAAATTCCTTGCATTTTCAGGGAATAAGTTTGCCTTAAAGGACAGTTTCAAATCAACAATGATGTTCCGAATTTGGTAGTTGTAGCCTTTTAGGTATAACTACATAGTCGGATAATTCGCATCCCAGTTACGACACACTCATGTAAATTGAGTGGTCCATGGTGGTTGCGAATTGGTCACCAGCCAGGTCGTTCATCTGCTGCGTAGGACCTGCGCGAATATTGTCTGTAAGATAAATTAGAGAGTAGCAGCGGATGTTCTGGAAATACCATTCTCGCGCATCTCGCTTCATGTTAAAAGGAACTTTGTCGAAACTGGCTGCTTTATGGAGTATGGAGACCAGAACCATAGAATGATCAACATTGTCAGGAGTACCGACTACTCCGTAATACGTGCCGCACATCATGCAGTTAATAATAGCCAGCAAATATTCTCCTTAGAACAGATAATTTTATCATGCCCGTGTCCACCCATTTACAGAGATCTTTTGGCGCAAAACACTCAATGTGCTGTGATCCCGTTAGCAGGAAGCATGTTGAATGCAGTAGATACTGCCACGCCCACGTATATCAGTATCTTCAAAGATGAATCACTCGCAGGCTTAAGAAGCAAAGAGTGTCTCAGCTCCTGGTTCTCTTCTAATCCACATCCGTGAACCTTCGCGGTCAGACGCAACCCTTGATCCTATATTGGCCAAGGAACTCCGTTCCGGGGCAAACCTTTATTTATACCCACAGCTCTTGAAAGTGCAGTTCCTCCAAGGCGCCAACACACAAGTGAGTGATAATAACGCCAAAACATCTGAGAAAGACAGATTGCTGACCACCAGGCCCAGATATTTATAACTCAGGCAGGTGAGTTACACACATCGCATTCGACATATGGGGCTAAGGAATAGTCAGCACTCATTCTTCAAACTCCTGACACAGTCGCTCCCCGCTTCGAGCTCGGGGAGGGCCGCCATATATATGAATGTGTAGAGGGCCACCTGCCTTCCCTGATTGATCCAGACCTTGATGAAGTTGCTTCCTCCACAGATAAGCTCGTTTCATACATCATCATCAAAAGTTGACAGCTATCTTGGTGGTCACAACTTCTTGATGCATACCTGGCCAAAGAGGATCCATTTAACAGGATCTTTGCCTTCTCACATGAGGCATTGCTGCTTTGTACTTAGCACATAAAACGAAGCTAGAATTAAGAGTCTGACCAGTCAGCTCCACCATTCAAATGCTCCATCTTCCTATTCACTCCAACCATAATCAACTTCAAGTCCACAAAGAATGACAAGTTTCAGAAAATAATACAAAATGTGGATGGTGAGCTCATTCACATTCCTACCGCACACATTTGGGGCCATAACAATACAACGAGCAACACAGCTACTGTCAACAGTGTATGTTTCCCACACATGACAGGGATTTGCGTGCACAAGGGAGCGCATGAAGTCTTCAGAGTTCACATGGATGTTGCACTCAAGTCAAGTGTATAGATCATTAAAGGTGGTCGCAATGGCTAGCTACAAGCAGTAGAAAAAGTAGAGAACCAGGACCTACAGAAAAAATCAGAACACTCTGGTTATAGCAAATTGGAAACACTACTGGATGACTCCTCAAATCCAATTGCAGCCCTCATCTTGCCACAGACTAATTACACCTTGGCACAATTTAGAGAAAAGATACTGGTCAACAAAAAGCTCACACAATAACTGCCATACACATACAGAGTTACTCTGTACTTGAGCAGCTGTATAGGGACACCCCATAACATCCTGCAACCTCTCAAAATGTCTAGAATCTGGAATCAGTTTCAAACGACTCGCCTTCTCCCACTAACGCCGGAGAAGCTTCTTGAGCCAAGCAGATCGTAATCTCGAATCACTTGGAAATAAATTTCGGCCAGGAAGTTTCGGTGCTCTGATGGACTTTGGATGCTTGCCATGCTGACATTGACGCAGGCATCTCTTCTCGTATTCCGCTCGCTTAACAATGGACTGCGGGGTTCCGCGGAGTTGAAGCTGCGTCCCTGGATCAATCACAGCACTGTGGCTGGTGTGTGGCTCTCGCCCAGCCTTTAGTGTGTTGATGCCTGTGCACAATGCCCTGGAGACGAGGAATTCCCAAGGGGGGTGCCCTGCAAGAAGTGCGCAGAATGATGAGACGAATGCAATATTCGGTTTGAGGAATTCTCCCATGCAGAATGGCGACTAAAGCAGAGGTTCAAGCAATACTACGCTTTCTCAGCCAAGAATCGAAAGTTCCCCTCGCGCTTGCCATAGCAAAGGTCAAAGACCTTCGGGATTCCAATCTACTCAAGTATCAAACGCCTTCACCTGAACATCTAAGCTCTCGCTTATTTGTGTGAAAACTGACCAGTAAATAGCATTGAAGCTCTCGCAAAAGCGGATATTAAACAGCTTCAGACTATATTCAACAACGCCAAGATTGCAAAACAAGTATCTAATGGCGCGAAGCGAGCAGTAAAGAAGCGTTCTGCAGACGCAGATTTAACCCGATCAACGCCCAAAAGGTCCAGAAGAACTCAAGGGCCGGAGGGACTTGCAACTCCGGCGCAACTCGAGTCCTCTTTAGCAATTTCTATTTCTACAGATGCGGACGCGATCTCAGAAACCACTGTCGTCACCAACCGGGCACCTTTGGTGCTTGCTTTTGCTTTTGTCCTGCTAAAGTATACGATGCCAGAGCAACCTATTTCCAGCAGACTTAGTCTTGCTCAAGCCGTGGTCAGTGCTAATAGTCGTTCTAAAGCTGCTAAACTGGGCATCGAGAAAGGTCCAAGCGCAGAGGAGGAAGGCTGGGCAAAGGGACAGCCTTCAGTAAAAGTTCTTGGAAGGGAGATTAGTGTTTTAAAAAGACTGGGCTATTTTGGGGACCCGGAGGGGGAGGATGGGGGTTGTCAAGCATCTTCAATCACACTCCCAGAAGAAGCGAAAGTTTCCGAGGATTCTCCGTCCTTATGGGGTCTGGACTTGGAGGCCCTGCGAAAATCAAATGGACCCGTACTTCCAGGCGCAAGTAGGGGACAATCTTCAATCCTTCCAATCTACAGACCAGAATCTGCTCGTGACTACTTGTTAAAATCGTTCAGCTTCGATGAGCAAGACTCTTCGGTGGCCCAAAGTAAGAAACGGGGAAACCCGGCAGAAATGGGCTCGAACCAAGAAAAGTGTCTCGGACTCCTGCTCGGTGCGGTTGATTTACTCTGTACGTCTTGGTCATCTACGCTGAGCAAGTATGAGTTGGATAGGCGAGCGTGGGCTTGGTACCTGAAAGTTAGACCAGATGTTCAGGCCGGCCCGGCCGGATGGGGTCAGAAAGGGAGAGTTCACTTATCTGATATTCTCGCCCTAAGAAAGTGATGATGAAATGAAACCTCTTGCCAAACCTCCCGAATTAGATTACTACACCAATTATCCACCAATTGAAGATTGAATGAGATCTATCTATTTTCGCTGTTTCATCGCTTTTGATACCATTTGGGTACATACACTTTGAAAGTAGAATGCCAAAATCGGACATTAAGAATCAAGTCAACTTCCACTTCATATTAAACACATGGTCCCGCAAAGTCCTTGAAAGCGCACTTCGGTATAATATTACACAGCTCTTTTGCCTATAATTAATGTCGATGCCCATCGGAACACTATATCGAAATGGAATTAAATATATATATATATATATATATATTATACTTTGACTGGCCGTAAAGCAGATACGTCGTTCAAGAGGGTTACACGAATATGTAGCGTCTCCGGACAGACGGCGGATAAAAATCGTTACCTTCTGAATTTGTCGCACATAGTGTTGTAAGGTTTGGAGGAATGGCAGGATATTGGCCCCTATGCACCCTCTACGAGAAAGATATTGAACAGCATGGCAAGTTAAAAGATGCAAGAGACACAACGTGACTAAGAATTGATGGTCTGAGCCAATTCGCCAGCTGGGCCCAGCAGCCACAAAGCCGAAACACTCAATGATACTTTGTAAAACAGCGGGAAAATAGAGCACCACTTCCTTAGAAAATGGAGGCGTCCCCCACAAACAAGAGAGAAGACATATGCTCCACGGCACGAAGGCGAAACCTTCTGATGTGGATAAAAAGATCTTCCGCGACCAGAAACCCCCATATGGTGATTCTCAACCATGGCTCAAGAAGTGTAACCAGTTAAAGGCCTAAAGGACAGCGTTGCGTTGACAAGTCGACGTCACGTTGCGTCGTATAAACAATTGAAAGTCTTCAGAGGTGTCAGATGCAGCACCTTGCACATGAAGATCGGTTCGGTTGCAAGCCTCGCTTGGACAGGGATTTTAGACACCGAGGATGGGGCGGTGTCGAAAGCGATGCAAGAGACTAATTAGTGAGGACTTAGACCGCACGAAAAAGGGACGGATCCATAACAAGGACGCCAAACGGGTTAGGAGGCAACTGCATATGCTCCGGCACCCAACATCGAAACCAGGATGATATCTGAAATCGAATGGGTGTTCTATCACGTAGTTCTCACGTTGTTATTTGAGAGTTGACGTAAAAAGGATCAAAATTGCCCGTCCTAAGTCCAAAACCTGAGATCGTCCGAGCTGCAGATGAGATAGGCGCCAACCATGGCCCTGAAACTGGCAAATCCGCCAAAGTGCGGGCAAAACAAGGGCAATCGATAACCATCTGATTGGACAGCGCGGCTTTGGTCCAATCCTTTGCTCGGCAGAGTATTTCTCCCCACATGAGGATGATGTCATCCAGGTGCGTAGCGGTGTTATAGAGAAGTTCGACAGAAGCCTCGTGGGATCTCAGTCCATCAGCCGGACAATACCAGCTGTCCGCCAGTCACCCTGCCCTGATCTCAGGGGAACAGCGTCGCTGGCTTCTGGAGTGCGTCGGTCCGCGGTGGCGGCAGGCGGGAATCTCACGTGACTACATCCCTTTTGGGCACGCGCCAAGAGTTTGGCGTATTGGCTCCGTACCGTATCCGTATCGACTTGGTAATTGCCCCGTGCGGTTGGTGTTATTATTACTAACCAGGTCGATTGCAGAACAACAGCCTTCCGTCTCCCCATCCACCCTTCACCGTTGGTTTTCCCACAAGAGGCCACCCTCCTCCTCACCAGTCCCTCGTTGATGCGATCTGCTTTTCCATTTCACCCAGTTCCGTTCTTTACCTTACTTCGAAAAGGAGAGAAAATCCGACTCCAGTCAATCTGGTCGCGCTGTCGAACTCGGTAGGGGGTTCAATCCCCAAGTGGGCAGTGCAGTCCACACAACCCATTCACAATGGCTCAACCGCCGTCCTCACTGCTCCCATCCGACCAGCGCGACGAATCGCGAAGAAATACCCACACGACACAAATTCGCTCGCTATCTTCAGGCCTCGAGAGCTCATCTGAAGGATCTCCAATCCAAAACGTATTCAGCGATGAATTTTCGTTGGAACCACTTGACCAGTTTAGTAGCAACCGGAGTTCTCTTACCACCCGGAGCCTAACAGATAACTCTCCACCGTCCCCGTTATCCTTGGACGGAGCGCGGCCATCGTCCATGGTCAGCCCTTTCGACGACTCCTCGGATTCGTCGAGAATAGTGATGCAAACACCACGCGAACCACCCATAATCTCCGACCAAGGCAGACACGTCCCAGTTGAAACAAGCCCTGCCGCGCGAGCTGCCTCTGTTTCATCAGAAACGACAAGCAACCAGTCTTCTACACGAAGGAGTTTAAGTCCTTCTTCTCGATTCTCGATGCCGCGTGCAATGAGTCCCTACCGAGGTCAAACCAGACCGAGCCATCCCTATGCCATGTATCCCCAAGGAATCGGTGTCGCTAGATCGTCATCTACCTCCACTGTCTCAACCGTCCGGCCGCCCGAACGTAATTTCGTCGCAGCTGCTCCACAACACCCATATGCAATGTATTCCCAGAATACCGTCCCGGAGGAAGCTGATGGGGCCCAGAATCCGCCTATACCGATCGGTTTCCCGCGCCAAACCCAGCCATACCAAGTGCCCTCGACCCAGGCGCCCAACGAAGTCGGAGATATTGTGGGCCCAGATGGTCATATGGAACAATTACCCCCCTATTCGAGGTATCCAGAAAGCCTTCCTGCCAAACGGGAACTGGCTTCGGACGAAGATGTCTCCACCGACACCGCTCCGACCACGGATGAAACAGCAGTATCCCCTCGACCTGCCGGAAGTAGCGACGCAGGCGAAGACAGACAAGATGCCAACTTGAGTCTAAATGATACTAGTGGAGGCTTCAAAGAAAAGTTGACCAAGAAAGGGCGGAAAAAGGTTTGCTGTGGTGTCCCACTCTGGATGTTCTTCCTTGTCGCTGCGGTATTGCTACTAGGTACGGTTATTGGAGGGGTCATCGGTGGTCTTTTGGGTTCACAGCAAGGGGCAAAACGCGACCCCCCCGCTTCTAGCACGCCGTAAGTTTCCCTGTTCGCGACAGCATTGTTCGATTGATATTGATCCTCGTTTTATAGGACTGCCACGGTCACTGTCACTGCTGGTACCTTGGATGCAATTCCTTTGCCAACAGGAGATCCAGGTAGCCTACTGCCACTTCCCACAGGACAGTTTAACATTCCAGCGGGGACACTTCAGGATAACTCGAGCAATTGCGTAACTGCTTCGGAGTACGAAAGATCTTGGCAATGCAGAGCCATTGGCATGTTCAATTATGAAATCCAGAAAGACAGAGATGAAAATGCAATGATCGTGTTTACTTCATACAACGTCTCCGGGCATTTTTATTATGGCGCTCAACCACCCATTTTTAGAGACCCGGATCATCCACTTGAGCTGATGCTTGATAAAACGAACGTGTCTCTGGGGCCGGCATACTTCTTCTTCACCGCATTTGACAAGCTTGTGATTATTCCAGACGAAGCCTTTCCCCGCCCAATCCCGAAAAGAGGGGTGGATGGATCCCGATTGCTACAACGCTGGCCTAGGCTTTTTGAAAGAGTGTCGTCCTCCCCTGGCGATAAACCTTGGTTTTGCTGGTGGAATAACACTCTCATTGAAGTTTTCATATATGCGAACGAGACGAGCTCGGCAACAGAAGCCGCAAACTCTCCATCGCCATCCCCATCAGGGACGGCAACGTCTGACGCGTATGAGCCTGAACAGACCATTGGGGAACGCGGCGGTGTAAGGCTTCCGCAGACACCGCAAAATTTCTCCCCGCGTGTTATCAAGATTGAAGAGAAACGCTACAAATCCCATGGACAAACGGCCTATTGTGAACAGATGCAAGTTCTAGACAATGGAAACGTTAATCGACTATCCCCGGAGCAAATTCCCATCGACGAGATCTATACTTACACGGATGCGGGCTTGGCATCGGATAGCGAAAGGGGATTATTTAAACGTGGTAAATTCCATGATGTTGGTTGTTTTTGCCAGTATTTCTATGATTGATTCTTGCCTCTGTTATCAGGATACAGAGCGATTGGGCGTTTTTACTGTTGCGTCTCGGGATTTTACTGGTGCACCTGGCGTTAAAGGTCTTCGTGCACACCCTTGTGCTTCATGATTCCAAGTTCAGTTTCTTTATATCTTTGATCTTGCTGATTAGCAGCCGACCTTGATCGGCCTGAGTCGCCCTTTCCATCCGTTTGCATTTTGGATACCATTACTTCATTAACGGGCTTTTGCCGTCTCTTTCCAGACTTCTTCCCTGCTTTGCATTTCCGGCATTTATGGCACCAGGAGAGGTTTATACATTTTCCTGTCGTTTCTGCACCTTAACTAGCTTTTCCTAGCAACTGCTCTCCTCTACAGCGTCACAACCACACCCATCTACCAAACCAGATGAATACCGCCCGAGATTTGTCGAATTTTCTACTTTTTTCCCCCTCTCTCCCTCTCCCCCTCTTAGTTCCTTTATACCTCCGTTCCGTCATGACTAACTTCCTTCTGCCTAAATCCTAGCTCTTGTGTATATTTTGCTGGCCGGCTCATACATATCCTACCTTCAGATGTACTCCGATTCACACTTCTGCCACGACTTTCTCACTTTTTCTCCTACCACTCGCTGTGGCTGCAGGTCTTATGGGCGACAAGGCCTCTATCGGCTTTAGTTAATCTCTTCGAGTATATAAATTTTTCTCCTTGTTCTTAATCTGAAAAGCGGAAATATAAATAAAGATTAGTCTAGGCGCGTTTATTCTCTTCGGTTTTTTTTACTTGCTTTATTCATCCCCCGCGCCTTTTGCCGGTACGAAACATACCTCATACATCATCAAAACCATGGTTGAAGAAACTAAGAATTCCCCAGTATTTCTTCCATCCCATCCGCTCATCTCATTTGCTAGAATAGGAGCAAGCGCTAAGAGCTATCCTGCATCCTCTTCACGAAGGTAGTAATTCACTCCTGCTTTGCAGCATCGGCTGTCATGCAAATATGAACAAGGGTCCTCTTCCATTCATGAATCTTGGCTGGACCAGGGTCTTTTATCTGTTTTGAAACAGTATGATGCCCACAATTGTTTCTCTTTTGCGGGGATTACAATCCTAATCCTGTCGTATCGTTCGACGGAGAGCCGAAATTTTTTGTGGCGTGGACGTCGTTTATTTTTGACATTGTTAACTGCAAGCTAATAACAGAGTGTTTGCCTGGAAGGTGGGTTAACTGAGTTTAGAGGCGCAGAAGTCCTGATGAAGGCAAAGAGAGATATTATAATAAGGTAAGTATCCTACCGTGCAGAGGAGTCAATTAAAATGATCAGTGGCTATTTTTATCATCAAGGCATAGTCGGTGAGACGAGAAGAAGGGGAGAAGAAAGGGAAGCGTGAAAAAATTTCAAGCATCACACCTGCCACCCGGCAAAATAACCCTGCACCTCGTTATCCTGTCAAAAGCTCGGTCCCAGGTAAAAGCAAGTCATAAATCGTGTCAAAATTCAAGATGAAACTGGGGTTGAAAAGAAAGACGCAAATAGAGAGAAGGGTGGAGGTCAATCAGGTTTCTCGCTAGATGTTCCCTGCTAACATCTTCTCCGTCTCCCCTCGCACCTCCATTACAAGTCAACCTTCTTCTTTGCGTCCGCTGCCTTCTCCTTTACCGCATCGGCCGCCTTCTGTCCCTCAGATCTCCCACTCAGGGCACCAATTTTCAATTGGTCCCAGACCCACTGCCCAGCACTCCACACTCGATCCAAAATACCCGCTTCCTGCACGAGTGTGCCATACATGAAATAATTCGCATTTCGTCTTGCTTCTTCACGGAGCTCTTCTATCTCTATGTCACGCCGGATTTTGAGTCCATACGACTCCAAATATTTCCGGAGATCGTCTTTCGACCAAGTGTTCAAGCTCATGTCCTTTGCTGCGTCGGTGGCGGAAGCAAGATATGAGGTCATTGATGCGTAGCTATCGCCACCAGTCTTGGAGGCACTGATGTATGCATCCTGAGCCTGCTTTAAAAGATCATTTCTGCTCCCCTCGAGTTTCTCCAGGGCTCCCTTATGTTGAGAGGACAAGTATTTTCTAGACAAGAATTTTATTAGCAAAACTATGTGGACGGTGCAAGTGCCAATGGTTGCTTTACCCGAGATTCTCTTTAGTCCAGGTATCAAAGGTCCAAGCGGAATATCCGGTGGCAGCCTTATGGCTATGCAAGCGCACTGTGGCCAGAAGGTCATTGCGCTTTGATCCTTGGGGGACGGGTACGCCGCGGGCGTCGAGATATGCCTTAAGGCGGGAATCAGACCACTGTTCGATAGCGGAGTTGAAAAGGTCATCTATTTTCATTCGGGCATCTTCTGTTGCTCGTGCGAACTCATTTCCAGCTTTCGAAGTCGCTGCACCATATAACGACGTGATCGAGGATGTTGGCTCTTGCAGAAGCGACTTGCGGTGCTTACGTGCCAATGCGACCAATTCATTGCGTCGAGAGCCCTGTGGGACTTTGATGTCATGCTCATCAAAAAATTTCTTAAAATCTGACTCGGACCAGGCGTTGAACAAAGCTTCAGTTAGGCTCTCTTGTGCTGCGGCAGCCGAAGAAGATGCAGCAGCAGCAGCCTTTTTGGATTCAATACTAGCGCGTCTCGCATTCCTTCGAATTACAGCGATCAGTTTATCTCGGGTTGTTGGTTGTGGGACGGCGTAGCCATGGCTGTCGAGATATTCCTTCAAGTCGGACTCTGACCAGTGATCATACAACCAGTTCCCAGGATACTGTGTTGTCTGGCCAAGCTTATGCGCAATTGCTTCGTAGTTATCCCTTACGGCGGATAAAAGAGTGTCCCTCTTTCTTGGTTGAGGATTTGGAATCCCATGTCTGTCCAGAAACGCCTTCAAATGCGATTCACTCCATCTGCTCTATATCAGTAACAATACCGTTTCAAGTCATTCGAAAAAGGGTACGTACGAATCAAAAATCCACTCTTTCGCCTGCTCATAAGAATCGCTGACTGCGTCCGTTGTATGAGTTATAGGAGCCTGGATATATGCGTCCCAGTTTTTTTTGACTAGATTCTCCAGGTCCCTGCGGTCTGCATAAGTTGGATACGGGATATCTATTTTCGAATCAGTTCTGCATTAGAGCTGTTTAAAACTAACTGTAGCACACCATGATCAGACAGCCACCGTTCCAATTCAGTTTCATGCCACCTATTATAAACTAAAGTTCCTGTTAGCACCCAGGATAGCGAAAGCTGCCGGATAGAGCCAAAACCAATCTTGCCATTGTATGTGATGTCCTCGGACGCACCAGCTCTGGTAAACCAATTGCTAGATCCGACGACCTCGGTGGCTACTAGGGCCAGGACCAAACCCGTTGCAAAGAGCTTCATGTTGAGAGAGCCTTTTTAGTTGATGTCGTAAATATCTGCCTAGTGTACGGAGTACTCCGTAAACAGAAACAAACTAGAATGCAAACCAGCAACAAACACTGTAAGTTACTGTAAAACGTGTGATATTAGAGGAACAACTGGCCTCTACATAAAGACTTTGAATATGTCAGAGAGCAATATTGATTAATGCCCATGTCGATGCCAGCACCGGACTCGAAGCAGGGAAGCTGTTTGATAGAGCACTAATTGTGCTATGACGTGAGGTGACGTAGTGTAGCGTGTTTGCATCAACGTTTGCATTCCCGATTGCTGGCGCTAAGCCGGAAACGAAGGGATCCAGCTAACCTTATTTCGAGCTCACGTCACACGGGCCATACAGATATTGCAGCTGCGGCTGTCGACGGGCAGTCGCTGTTCTCGGGGAGTTGGCCCTGCGTTTTGGTTAGATTGTTGAGTTGCTTTGAGGGGAATGGACAATTTGTGATATTTCATCTCTACAATAGCTAGGTTCTGACCAGGATTCTGGAGGACTCAACCTCGCTAGGATCATCACGATGGATCCACACTGCAAACAGTTATCCTCCCCGAGCATCGTCAACTTCTCCTTCTCAGTGTAAGAATAGCACAGCTACACCTTGGATTAAGATATCCGCATTCTTTTAAATTTGCCATCTTCTAACAATGTCTTGTTTCTAGGCTGATTCTCCTCGGTATTCTTCTATCCTATGTTCCACAACACCACCGGATCATCTCACGGCGTTCGTCCTTTGGCATATCTCCATATTTTGTCCTCCTAGGTACAACGTCAGGGACCTCCGGATTTGCAAATATCCTTCTTCTCCCTCGGAGTGCCAAAGATGTCGCATGCTGTGACGAAATCAGTGGATTCTCTTGTTTTGCTGGCCTCTTAGGAATCCTACAAGTCGGCACGCAAGCAGTATGCTTCGTTATCATGTAAGAACTTCCGTTATCCCCCAAAATAAATTACAAAGGTTTATTTTACTGGGATATAAAATGGTAAAATCAGAAGCATTGACATGACAATAAAGCTGATCCGGGAAGTTTAGCCTTGCACTCTTTGTTATCTTTTTCACCAACCCCGATACCACCGCGGCATCAAAAACCCGTGAATCGCCATCATTCCGTACTGCTCTTCTGGTTGCCGCAGCATGTATAATCCATGCCGTAGCTGCTGTGGTTTTGGGTGTCATGATAGCGCTTGCATACCCGTCCTCCCGCCAGCTCTGGGCCAATATTTTTGGCATCATGGCAACCATCCTGTCGTCCATCCAATATTTCCCTCAAATATATACAACCTACGTCTTACGCCGTGTAGGTAGCTTGAGCATCCCAATGATGTGTATTCAGACCCCCGGCAGTCTTGTGTGGGCAGCTTCTCTGGCAGCCCGCTTGGGAACTGAAGGATGGAGCACTTGGGGGGTCTATGTGGTCACAGCGCTTTTGCAAGGGACTCTCTTGATAATGGCAATATATTTCGAATACCTTAATCCTCAGAAGGGGGAAGGAGGCACTAATTCAGGAGGGGTCGCGGTCACTCTACCCTATGAGAATCGCGCTGAACCCAGCTTCTCAGAAGATAATGAAAATCGAGTGCTTGAACGAACTCCATTGCTGCGAAAGCCGTGAGTCTATGATATTTTTCTGCTATGTTTCACTCAGCATTCATAATATAGTTTTGGCTTAAAGTTGTGGAATAGTCAGATAGACTCTGTTGCTTGCATGTCTTTCCGCACTCTGCATATGTTTAGATACTTTCTTTCTAGGAAACGCTGAACAAGCTTCCTCTATCTTGCATTGCGAAGATCAACTATTCTCAGCCAATCTGGGTGAATTACGGTTGAAGTGAAAACGCCCGCCCCCATATAGCTATTCAATTGCACCCTGTATTCGCACTCATAGCTCCCAATATCTAGGAACGCGAAAAAAGATGAGTATTCAAAAATACAAGAACTTTGCAGGTTCCTCAAGAACTCGCTTTGAAAAGTTATGTGTGTCAAGCACATTGGATGCCTCATATACAAAAAGTTGGCATACTTGCGTAAGTGGCCCATTACATACCTTGTATCAAACCACGGCTAACAGCTTCATCGGCCTCAGTAAACTTTAGGCACATCCATCACGGCATCTCTCTGGAATGCTAGGTTTGCTGTTACCATAATTGCAGGTCCCGTCTGCAGCAACATTCCTGCCCTGAATACAGCATACACGGCTGAAGAATTGTGACTTTGTGATAATGAATCACGAGGGCTTAGCAAGGTCACAGATATTTAGTGTGAGATGCCCGTCGACATCAGCGAGATAACACGTACATCCAGCCGGCTAGAAAAGTTTGGTCGGTGAAAGTGCCTGGCTGCTATAATTACACAAAGGCCAATGAGCATGGATTTAGTAATTTACTGCCATGTACTCGGTACAGTTTAATAGTCACCTGTGATCTGCCTGTTGTGTTTCGGTACTTCAATTCATCTTTCTGTCGCATGTTACACTGCAGGCACGAGCAGTTCCCCATCAGATGCAATGCTGAAATATTCACATGTAACAATTTTGATTGGCGAAAACCCATAGTTCTCAAAACATCGCACAGCACCATTTTGGGCATCTCCCAAGACACATTAAAAAGAAGTGGTTCCTAATTGTGTGCCAGTCAAATCATTCAATTTCGTTTCTGGCATCCGGCCCATCTACCCTCTGACGCCTTATCAAAGCCTCAGTTCAACAACTAGATGTGTGAACAGAGTCTTGTCCAACAGCAGGGGCCACTGTGTAGACAAGTATTTTCCATATATAACATATAAATTCCTGAGGATGATATAGGACAAGATCAGCAAATAGATCGGGGGATGGCCAGCTTTCTTAATTGGCACGTTTCTGGCATCGTCACTGCCATATAGTGGACTAGGCGCATCTGGTTGTTCACAACACGGTAACATAGATTCCATACTCCTGACAAAAGAACAGGAGTTGTTTATGTGGAAAATGCCTGGCAGGGAAGCTAATTGTGACAGATGTTTGGTTGGTGCTTTCTTTTAAGGGTTGGAAACGTGGTATGAGATAGCTAATAGTTAACGCAGGAAACTTATGGATTCTCTTGACTCCATCGAATTGCAAAATTTTTGTCGAGGGTGAATGCTTGTTGGATGGGGAGTAGAATCCTGATGCTGTAACAGACATTCCCGTGTACTCTATATTAGGTTGGTAATGGCTACATGCAGGAACATATTTAGGAGACAGGAGCTTGAGGTTGCGGGCTGTGTCAAATCTTCCAACTTCGCAGACCAGGGGACACTGACCATGTGAACTTGAGCTTATTTAAGTGCGGCGTTGTGAACCACAGTCATTAACAGGTAACCACTGGGTAGTAAACTCGGGCCCAGTCATAAATTCAGGAGGGACTGATGAAAAACTGTATTGAATTACTCTTTCAGGGGCTGTAGATGAATATAAACCAAGGCATTGGTGAGAAAGGCTCAAAGATTTAAAGCTACAAACATAAATCACCCATATTAATATCATAATTCAATTCCACTAAAATGTTAGCCCTCAATTAATCAGTTGTCTACAAAGTGCTCCGCACCCAATTGTATAATGCACCTAGTTAATTCACCATTGTGTGATGGACAGAACTTGCCACTGCATCTGGCAGCAGTATTGACCTCAGACTGTAAAAATACCAAACGCTCCGGAGAGGTACTACCCCAGCAATCAAAAGCTAAAACAGAGGAAAGATTTAGAGAGGTGACGAAACTCCCTTGGCAGGTGGCGTTTCCCGTCAGACTGAGTTATGACATCAGTGTACCAAGGCAGAACGAATGAACCCGTCTGGTAGCAGTTCGGCCATCATCGACACGAAAACAGCCTACTCTGCTTTAGAACAATATTCGAACCATTAAAGCAAAGAGTTCTGATTATTTCTTGAGCAGCCCACTATCTCTGCAAAAGAGTCCCCAACCTACTTCTCCGCAAACATCTTCGGCCACACAAAATTGTGGCAATATGAACAGAGGAACGAGAGTGATTCTGTCCACGAAGCGGGTTTGCGCCAGCCTCAGAGCGCGGCCTCGAGCGTCGCCCAAGCAGCTCACACACGAAGTGAATACGTACAGATTTGGGCATTCCGAAGCCTCACGGGGAAAGGGTACGTCAATATTCCAGTCGTAAGCGGCGAACAGCCTACCATGCTTGAATCCACGTTCCTTTTCATTGTTTGTATTTTTAAAAAGAAAAAAAAAAAAAGGTCGGTCTCTAATTGAGCAATCTAGACTCGGAGTCTCATCATAAAGAAGAACGAGAACCACATTGCTTTGAACCAGCTTCCTTCTCCAAAGAATTCGACGAACATATTCCTTCGAACAAAGCCCGACCTACCCTTAGCGACGCATATCAGCACAGTGGAGTCGATGCAAAGCACCCTAAAAGGCCAGAAAAGAAAGAACTAAGCGAGGAAGACTCTCGCAAGCTGCAATATGACGAAGAAGAGGTCAAGAAGCACAACGAGGATGTAGAACGGCGATACGACAAGGCAATCAGCCAGGTTTCGGATCAGGGTGACAAGGGTGAACTTGGTACCTTGGACACTGAAGTTGATGATAAAGGGCATATAAGGGGAGAATAATGGCCCTAGGGTTAAATGTTTGTTGTCTGCTGGGGAAAACTCAAGAGCGGTGCAGAAGCGGATGGAAAGGGGCATTCGCTATCGCCTAAATCATGAGCGGAGGTTTTGACTTTTGGCATTGCCAAAAGTCGCATTCAGCGAAATATCGTCATCGATACTCAAAATCATACTGTATACATTAGGTATGCGAGTAGTAGGAATGGAGCCATGCTCAAAATTGTTGTTCGATGGTGATGAACTTCCCGTCAGAACCTAGGTATCCACCCATCCAGCGGATCATAATAATTCCGCTCCGAACCCCTGCCGTGGACGTCGGGAGGCCCGTTTTCTAGGCCAGACCTCATTTCCATCCCCAAACCCCCCAAGTTCATCAGTATTAACTCGTTCTCTTACACGTCTTTTATCACGTAATCACCCCCGATAGCCATACCCTTATTGATGTCGCCAAAAGGACTGCACAGCCCTAATGCAAGGGAGGTCTGTTACCCAAATCAAGAGGTTCCAGACCAAAAATCCAACATTCACTGGGAGGCATATTTTGGGCCCTATCATGGCGAATCTCTTGCCTCGTCAGGGATTCCGAGCTAGGGGGCGATTCCCACTATTCTTCGAGGCTTCTCGAGATACATATGGGTTCAGAGAACTATCAGTAAATACTCACCTGCGGCAGACCTACAAAGGGCGACACAATCGAAGATCCAAACCCTTAAACTTGAGGTTGGCACGTATGACTGACTCTGGATATTTACTCCGTATGTACGGAGTAGCACTGCTACTCTAAGACCAGGCCCCTGCTGCTGTTTCAGATGAACAGACTTTTGTTAGACAGGGCCCACTCGCAAACCAACATTTAAACCTCACTGAGATTGACTAAAATGGCCACACAAGGAGATTCCCACGTGATTCAGAATCGACTGGGCACCCATACAAGCTCCCTAACGGAGCAGTGATTTCAGAGTGGGAAGTTGCCAGAAATTTTCGGGTGGGAAAATGTGGAAGTCGTCGTTTAACGAAATTGATCCGGCAACTCGGTCAGCCGGCGCTGCTCTGCTATGTGCCATAACAAGGCAATATCTATTCTCCAGGCAATCCGAGCTCTGCTCCGAGATACTGGCCTGGCTGATACTGCCGATTGTGTTCAAGATTACGAGCAGCCCACGCATAAACAAGTTCTTCGCAGCCGCTCCCTGCAATTTCGAAGCTCAACCTACATCTGCAGCATCATTATCAATAGTTACCGTAGGACTTGTTGCATTTTGCCTTAGTACTGCAGGGAATGGCAAGTCTGAGTTCTTGGTAAGCAGCTCATGCTTTTAAAATAACTAGTTAAGGTGCCCCCTGAGCTAACAACCAGAAGCCAGCTTTAACCCCATTACTTCTGTTGGTCCAGAAGTATCTTGGATCCGAGCTTCGTCCCCCAAGAACATCTAATTCTAGGTTCTTCCACCCTTTTGTGAACACAATCTTAGGTACCACATTTGCTGCATCATTTTTCATTTTTATCCTATCAGACTGGAATCTTCGAGGACATGCCTTATCGATTATCCCAGTTGCTGCTCTTCTCGTGGTCTATACCACCCTCACACCTAGGACCGATAAGAGCTCTCGATATCTTCCGTCTTTTGATATCGAAGGAACGATCATTCCTCTTTCATTACGCGTTGTAGTTGTGCTAGGCCTAGCGCTAGTTGTGGAAATTCTTGCGTTTGATCTCCCTAGAAGCACAGTCGTAGCTATATCAGCGCTAGGGTTGGCTAAAGCTTTGTTTTGGTATTTTATAATTCAAACAGTATGTCGTGACCCTTATGAGAAAACTTAAATGGCTTACCAGATTTTCAGGCTAGAAATTCTTCGTGGAACACTACATCTATCATAGAAACGTTCAGTGTCATATCCACTAGAGATCCCTTCACGCAATCTTCGGATACCCAAAGTTTATTCTTCGTTATAGCGTCTTTGCTTGCCCTTGGCCAGACCGTTCACATACTTCCAAAGCAGGCGAAGGCCAAGTCATGGCTGTGGCTGTTTTCTCTTGTTTCTCTTGTTCCATACCTTGCGAACATTCTGACCATTAGACTCTCGCAAACTTCATCATTGATTTACTCTCAGCAGCACCCCGTCGAAGCCTTAATCCAAAACGCCAATGCCACTTTCAACGCCTTGCTTCACAAACAATCCCGAAACTACACAGCAGCCCATAACGAATATCGACGTCGATACGGTACAGAAACCCCTCCAGGCTTCCAAGCCTGGTATGAATTTGCAAAATTCCATCAGTCACCCATCATCGATGACTTTGATATGATTTACGATGCTATTTCCCCATTTTGGAAACTCAGCGGTCAAGAGGTACTTGAGATTATGAGTCATATACAAAATGAGCCGAACAACGAGCTGTGGCTCTGTACATTTTCTGGCCTCCAGGCCAAGACTGAATGCAGCCATCCCCAGCGCACCTTTGACAGGCACAACCAACTCTTGTTCAACAAGCTATTGGAGAATTTGCGTGGTGTTCTTCCGGATGTCAAGTTTCTTGTCAATCATCTCGATGAACCGAGGGTCCTGATTCCTTCGGCTGCAGAAGGTTTTCGTGGCAATGTATGGTTCAACTTGACTGATATGTCAAGACGACCGGTCTGGGACACGCTTACTAGATTTTGTCCTTCTCAAGGAGGTAGGAGAAATGTTCGGGATGGGCACACGGTGGAAACGTTTGCCCTCCCTTTCGTCACCAATCGAGTGTCGGACTTAAACCTGTGCTGGCATCCGGAGTACCGCGCTATACATGGTCTCTCCATGAGCCCTTCAGCTTTTCGCCTTATTGCAGGATCCATACCGGTATTGACGACTGGGTCGCTGTCCACCATGGGTGACATCTTGTATCCCAGCCCAGCTTATATCGAGTCCGAGTTTCAATATGTTGAAGCAAATGACGTGGACTGGGATAAAAAGATAAACAATCTTTACTGGGCCGGTTCTACAACAGGCGGCTTTGCTTCGACCGATCAGTGGCGGGACTATCACCGGCAAAGGTTTGTGAGCTTGGCGCAGAATTTGAGAAGGCGTCAACATTATTACCTACGAGAAAAGGGCGGAGTGATCAGTCGTGTGAGCTCATCATTTCTCAATAGCAGATTGTTCGACGTTGCCTTTACTAGAATATTCCAGTGCAAGAAGAAATACTGCCGGGACCAACATATGTACTTTAAGGTTAAGTCGTGGGCGGACAAAGACAAAGCGCTCCGGTCGCGACTCGCATTTGATATTGACGGAAATGGCATTAGCGGCCGCTACTACAAGCTTCTAGCTTCCAAATCTGCGCCGTTGAAACAAACCCTATTCCGAGAGTGGCATGACGAGCGTCTAGTGCCATGGGTGCATTACATACCGGTCAGCCAAAGTTTGGAAGAGCTTCCTGAGCTTGTGTTCTATCTCACTTCAACCGAAGCTGGGCAGAAAAGGGCCAGAGAGATTGCAGAGCAGGGTAGAGACTGGTTTTCTAAGGCCTTCCGCGATGTTGATCTGACAGTTTATACCTATCGGTTAATGCTAGAGCTGGCGAGACTACAAGATCCAAAAAGGCCAGCAGCTTGATACGTTAAATCTATAAAGTGCTCTGGGTTCATGGACTTGGGCTGGACGTTATTCTATCATTTTTGGCCCGGAGTTCTGTTGCGCTTGGTGGTCAATGTGACGAGGCTTTTATGCAAGCTAACAGAGTATTAATTACATCAAATCATCCGGCCAAACCACATATAAACTTCAGCACTAGATTGCTCCATAATGACGACGTTCCGGCTCAACTGCATTCTTGCAAGATGTATCCCGCGACCCTGTTAATAGCCAATCCATCGTTTCTATTATTTTTGCAGTGCTAGCACAGCCACTTCCAAGCCCTAAATCCAGAAAACCAAGGATAACTAAGAAGCCCTGCTATTTGCAATCTGGTATGAGGCTCAATTCTGAGCATACTTCTTGACCAATCAATCCGTTGCTCTATATCTTGTTCTGAAAGTCCTACAGTCCCAATTCGATGACCATGGCGCTTCTGGGCCCAGAATCCTTCAGGATCAATGCACCAGGGTAACAGGTTTCTAGGAGAAAGTAAACTGAATTTCACAGAAGAAAGCTTCCAGGAACGGGAGCTGATATGCATACGAACTTTTTCCACGCAGAATCCGTTTAGGTTCCAATATTTGCCCTAGGCAGAGGGGAAAGGACCAGCTAGTTGAAGCGTATGGTATATAATGGAATCACATGGACTCATTCCATATAGAAAGACGCTTCCAAAATTCAACTCGCAAAGCTGCGTTTGTAGGTTGGGTGGGCTGAAGTGGTCGAAAGCACGAGCTGAAACATATGAACTTACGGTACGAACCGGCTGTCCGGACGTCCATGATTGTTCTCCACTCAGAGTCGACCTTACCTCCGGAAGGCTCATAGAACGTTACCCCAGGAGCGTGAATTGAGGTTGGGGTGCTTCGATAGTGATATTTTATCTGATTATCGAATGCTAAGTACGTTAGGATGATACCTGGAATGTGCGAACTCACAATTTCTAAAATCCATGATTTTGAGGCAGAGGGGGTTCATGTTCGCAGTAATGTTTATTGTTCTTTCTAAATAACCCACCAAGGAGATGGCGAGAACATAGTATGCGGGAGCAGCCGGTTCTGATCTTAGGGACTCCGACCCACAACAAGAACACATTCAGAATCAGAGAAATATTCTACTATTGATGCGTCGAATGATCCTTCAACTGTGGCTTGCTTTGCAAGATTTCCCATGTGAAAATCTGCATTGTTAGGAATCTATCGGTATTTTGCAACTATCAACAAGATTCATACCGCCATGCGTCACTCCTCGATCATACAGATATGAGAGCCCCATTCCAATTTGAAATGGGACCTCCTTTACATGAGACTCGAAAGCTGAGATAATATCTCAAATTTTTCAGGCTTGCCACAACCTCGGCAACACAGCGCTCATGTGTTCCATTTGGCCCTAGGGTGCTCAATTATGACCAAAATCTTAGATATCAAAGAATTTGAAGCTTGTTTTTCTTGCCGGCGATATGTGAGGCATGGATTTTAAGAGCAACGTAGTGACTGTTCTAGCATAGACTATTTCATTATGAAAACTGTATTAGGCAATACTCTTGAAGCGACTTACAGCAGACCCAAAAATTCTTTTGCCGGCCATATTGTGGTAAATGCGCCATGGCCTAGCTTTTCCATGATCCTATATCTTGGCCTCGAGTCTCAGAGGTCGACTTCTTAAGAATCTCTTAGGAGTGCGGGATGGTAACCTCTTAGGCTGTATAAGCTCATATGTATGCTCTATATCATTAATACCATTGTAGAACAACATATTGGCTGCTATAATTGAGACAGCTAGAGTCAGGACAAAAATGGAAGATGTAGTATCGCAATACAACCCTCTTAGGAATTTCACTTAAAGGTATCCTAGTTGAATGTGAGTGAATAAATAAATCCAAATGTTTCAAGAAACTTGAGGATAAACTGAATAGGAATAGCGGTTCTCTGTCCCAACACAGCGCCGAGAGGAGGAGTGCCGGGTGGAGGTATCCGGAAAAAAAGAAAAGGAAAGAGAAGAAAAAGAAAGGGAGAGGATTGTAAGCAGAAGAGGATGATGAACCAGAGCCCACCGGCTCCAGGTAACTACCCTTCGACATAGCAGCCCGCCTGTGACGTAGGCATTTTTTAGGGAGCCTGAGAAATTGAATCCAGACTCAAAATATAAACGGATACCGATAAAAGGAGATATCAATGAACCTGCTATGGGACAATAAGTAAGACTCACTATAAGTAGTAAAATGTATAGTTGTAAGGAGAATAGAGGTCAGCCAGAACTATCTCTGGCAGGCCATACAATGTAGCATGTGCGGATAAGACGGAAGTGGCCGGTATGGAATAAATAACTATCATCCATAATTATCCTCCATATCATGGAAGGGAAGTGGCCAGGGGATCTTGTAATATCTCAGATATACAACCATACCAAAGTTACAATTTTTCAGGACTTTCAGCCAACCAGGTATTCACCACGGCTATTTCCTGGCGGCCGGGTGGTAACTTCTCCTCTCTTTTGTTAACAGGTCAGGAAACAAATAGAAGGAGCAGCCGGAGAAAGTCAAATCAGCAGGAGTCAATGGCGTTCAAAGAAATTTGTAGTCACGGCCATTGCTGGTCATGTTATCTACCATACCGCCTCTTATTTAGGAGCTTCCGGGTCGCCCTCCGCGACCAGCTTTCCAACGACCAGGTATTTCTCCAGAAACCTTTCCTCCCACCCCCTGAGGTTGTCTAGTTGCTCTTCGTCCAAGCCTTGTAGATCATCTAAAGGACCCTTAAGGTCCTTTGTGAGCATCTCCTCGTCAAAGCTCTGGCAAGCCAATCCTCGAGTAGCGTCACGGCCGGCAAAGTTCTCATACGGTCCGCCCTGGAAAATCACATAAAAAGTTTAGGACAGGTGCTCTAAATGGGAAAGGCTGCGAAGGGGTTCCGAATTACCGGGCCGTAAAAATTCCTCCCCGGGCTCACATCAAAAACCTTTCCGCGAACCGCAAGGTATACAGGTTTGTTGTCTTGTCCATTAAACTCTATCAGGGTTGTTGGTTTGAACGTGCGGAATACAACCGGAGCCTGGTCTTTTGGTAGGGTAACTGGGGCCTTGGGCCGGAACTGCATATACACCACGACGACAAAAAGGGAGAGAAGGACTAGATTTATTGGGGAAGCAATAGATGCCCTAAGAGCTGAGGTTAGAAGGTCGAGCCAGCATATTATAGCAATCGAAGGAGAGAGGCCCCGTCGAGGGATACAGCTTACACCTCAGGGACCGGGGAAGCATTGGCATCTTTGGCAAATTAGCTCTGGTGGACCTAGGATTACTCAGGAAGTACGCGGGAAGACGAACCTGACGCCATTCTGATGTAGCTCGTAAAACTGTCTCAAGTAGACAATGCAAGAAAGGGTCGCGGTGAATATCTTCCCACCACCGCGCAGTTACGGACGCTTCCGAGCTTTCACCATCACGGCCATTGGCTGCAAGCCCTTCTGCGAAGACTGCGTGTTATGTCATCGATGAGTGGTCGATTATATAATATAACCTTTCCGCACTGGTAACTAGTTAGCTACTAACTAACTAGCTCGTGTTCGTCGGCTTTGAAACTGCGCTAGTCTCAAATGAGGCGATGCGGCGGCGGCCCGACGATCCATGACATCGCGGCGTTGCGAATGAAGGGATCGTTACAGCTGTGAGTGGAGGAGAGGTGAAGAACACAACTTCTTGTCCTGCTGGCCGGTGAATGCGATCATTCCTTATCCCTCTTCATTGGTCTGGAACCATTATTGATGTCACTCCTTTATTCTTCCTCTTCTTTCTTTCAAATTATACAGCATTTTGAGGGGGAAATTATTTGGAAATCTCTCCGGCAGTGTCATGTTCCCTTCTTCTGAATCTCAATTATTTTAGACTTCACAATACAAAGGGGGCCATCGCATCGCACAGCCTCCACAGAATATTATTTTTATATCTCACTGTCTTCTTTTGGTACCTGCCGAGCAAGATCCTCGAAGCACGCTTCGTGAGGTATGATCCCGCCGCAGCTTGATTTTGGCCCCAAGCGCAGAGCTCGCACAGCCATGCGCGTAGCCATTATACCCCCTCTCCCCTTCCCCCCTCCCCCCACCAAAAAAAAAGAAAAAGCCGCATTTGGATAGTAGTGAGTGCGTTTACTGACATATGAGTGGTGACGTTTGCAAGATTATGAAATGTGGAAAGCGAGTCATCCGCCTACTCCCAAAGACATGGCAAACCCCCGGTCAAGGGGGCCGAGATTTACAATTGAGCGCAACAAAGAACAAGGGTTTGTGAGCCCACATGTACAGGAAATGAATTATGAGAACAATCCATACGGACGATCATTTCGTTCATAGTGAGTGGAATGCTAGCCCAATTTCACCTTAAAAACAAGAGGCCTGACTGTGTCGCAAGCAATGCTATGGAACCGCCGCCCGCGATTGGCAAGGAGCCACGCATAGCATCCTCGATTTACTCTGACTGGGATTCTGATAACGAACGTCGACTCACAAAGCCCCACGTTTATCTTGACCGTTCCTCTGAATATCGCGATAGTCAGTACACTGATGCATCGCCGCCTGTGTCGCCAATGCCTGGCCAGTATAGAAATACTACCGGGAATGATAGCCCAGACATATCTCCTATAGAAGAGTTTTTTGAACCTGCTGTTCAATTTCCCCGTGAAAAAATCAATTTTCCCGATGCAGTTCCGGTCTCTCAGAAATTTGCGAAGGCGCCTCAAATGACAAAGGACGACCCAAACGCCGGTGCCATCCTAAAAGGCAGACGCGGATTTTCCGGACCGCACCCTGCTCGAAAAACAAAGTGGGATGAGTTTTCAGGCGAACCGACCAAAAGCGATCGCGGCAAGTTTGCCCAAGTTTCCCCAAAGAATCCGCATTTGCCAGTGTTATCACATCTCAAGCCTTCGCAGAAGCACCCTTTCGGTTTCTTTACAAGAAACAAGGATACAAATCAAGGCCACAGGCGAGCCCCAAAGCTTGACCCAGAAGATCCGGCCTTGGTGCCTCCTACTCGTCCACCGTGGAAAGGCGCTAGTGGAAGGTCTGCCATTTTGAACCCGATTTCGACCAAAAAGCCATCCGCAGAGGAACCATTTATTCCCCCACCCAGGAAGGATAGTCGACCTCAACCAGTCGAACCGCTGCACACTACACCAGCAGGGCTTTCAACCACCTCTTTAAAGGCACCATCCGACTCGGTAGCGCCATTTAGAATGGATACCTTCGATTTCGCGACATCGCAGAGTGGTATACAAGAGGATACCGGTTACGCGGCGGACTCGATGAATGGGTCCAATGGACAGAATCCATCTACAATGCTCAATAGTCTGCCAGACCTTTCGCATCCCCTTCGTAGCGAAGCTCGAATACGGGACGTCCCGTTCGAGCCGGATTACATGAAGCTGGAAAGCCTAGACTTGGAACCTCAGCCGGTGAGCCGTTTCAGTATGACGACTTTCGCGACCACCGAAGTAGGCACCCCACCGCAATCTTCTCGACGAAGCAACGAGAAAGATGCTCCGCCTCTCCCAGATATCCCCACCGATATAGCGGCCAAAGCTGCTAGGATGACGGCGCGAAAGCCTACTCCATCCCAGCTGTCGGCGGTTACTTCGAAGTCGTTGCCACGGAGCCCGCCAGAAGCGGAGGCTAACAATCGCATCGAAGCAATGGAGGCAAAACTTCGCGATCTTGCCCGAAGACGCGGTAATATCAACACCATCATCAACGAATTGACACAAGTCATACAGCCAAGTTCAATCGCTTACGATTTTGCGACTCGTGCTGAAGTTACGAAGACCGTGAAGAGCCTTAATAACGAGCTAGACGATATCAAGAAAGATGAGCACGATATCGGGCTCAAACTTCATCGGGCGTATAAGAAGAAGGATGAAGAGGATGAGTACGAAGGGTCTGGATTATGGATTAAGAGAGTCACCAGCTAAAATGGCTTCGACTGATGCAGCCGGCGTCATGACCCTTGCATAGTATTCATACAAGACCCTGGTTGGTCGTTCTTCGATTTGAAATTTCTTTTGGTTTTCCCTTCCTCCACATTCCAAATTTCCCTAGCCGCTTTTACTCCAGTGAACACTTGTTTACTCTGCTACTTCTTGAGAATACCCTTTTGCCCAAAAATTTTACAAATTCAGATCTATGTTCAAAGAACCCTGGGCGATTCTGTGAATTGTTTCTGTGAAGCTTTCCTTTCATGTACATATATTTTCTTCATTATACGGACTTAAGGTGGTTTAGTTTCCGACATGAAAATGCGTATAGTGGTGCTCAAGATCAATGGCAGGCGCTACTCTCAAGTTCAAAATTTCGTAGAAGTAGATCACCGCCCGCTCATGCTATGGGTACTCGCTCGCGAAGAGAACGGCAATTCAAGGGACCGTAACGCCCGTCAGAGGACATAATGTCGTTACATCGTAGGCTTGACAACCCGAACCAGAAGAGCCGCTACCCCATCACTTTTTACCGGACTTCTTGATTCCTTGTTGGCCGGTATTCATCGGGCCCTTGCCCTTCGCTTTATCAGCCATTTCCTTTCTGGCTTTGGCCTCTGGAGAGACAAGAGGAGGTTATCAGCATTTAGAGCTCCTCTTAGAAGGCGATTACGAGAGCACTCCTAGGATAGACCACAATAAGAGACAAAGATCATACCTGCTTTCTGCCTCTCTCTGAAGGCGAGATCATCGTCATCCAGTTCTTTCCTTTCCTTCTTAGCAGCCTTGAGGGGTTTGGCTTTGCCGCCTGTAACAGATCCTTCAATCAGTCGATGAAAAATCAAAAGAGCGGTGGTGGTTCCAGTTGAAAACAAACCTTCTCTAGATTGACCACCCATGCTTGCGTATAGAATAAATTATTCGGCGATCTCAAAGAACGGTTTCTCGTCCGTTGACGTGCGGGTTCTCGTCGCTGCTCGCCCCTCGTCCGCCTGGGGGAAGAAAACCACCAAAGCCGAGCTGGCGAGGTATCGGGAGCTAAACCGCTTTTGGCTAGTGCACTTGAGGGATGCGCCTCTATGCGTTCAACTCCCAAATCCGACTCGTCAAACCAGAGTAACAACTCAGAACTTGGCGCGACGACTTGTCGCTGAATTTCGATTAATTCAAAGCAGGCATTTTCTTCAACAAGCTGAGAACAACGTTGGATGGCTTTCTCGCCTTTTCCTATTGAATAGATGCTATCGAGCATTGCCGCGTGGGAAGGGCCATAACTAGCCGGGTTGGACATTTCACCATCACCTAAATTGTCATCCGTGCTTGGGAGGAAACTCTGTGCTAATTGAGTCGTCATAATTTTCAAGCTACCATCGCTGCAACCTGGCCGGCTGATTCCGCCATATTACGACTCTGGGCGGACTGTGATCTGATGGCGTTGAGACGGTCGAGGTCCCCATCGACCCCATCGGAGGGTGAGATCATCGAATCAGGTTCAGATACGAAGGCAACTACGTCGCAGACTTCTCTTAATGACATAAAGGTTGACCGTAACACCAGACACGATATATACTCTCCGAGATCCCCTGTATCTGTGGGAAGATCCAGTCACCGCGAGAGATCGAGATCCCGGTCGCCCTATCGCCCCTCAAGAGGCGAAAAGCGCAGACGCGATGATTACGACTACGACAGAGGCAGCCGACGAACTCCAAGCTTGAGATACGATGATAGGTACTATGGTAGGAGCGATTCACGCCGGCATCGCCGCCCGTACTATGATCATGACCGGAGTGATGCCTACGACAGGCATCGTCTCTCCTACAGTGATGACTACGATAGACGCGCTGAAAAGCGCCCTCGAACTCGGAGTCGATCTCCCTACCGTGAACCGAGAAAGCAAAAACAGTATTCCGATGAGCAGGAAAGAAGGGATGAGAGATCTTCGGCTAGACCAGCAGACAGCCACTCGCATCCTGAGGGAAGAAGGTTATCTACAGAACAGTCAGTGAGCGAACGGGGAAATCCCTCTGTTAGCGCTCAAAAAGCAAGACAGGAAGCTGAATATCGAGGGACTCAGATGCAGCAGACTTCCGTCACCGAAACGAGTGTCTCTAATGGGTGAGTCCTTCTCTTCTGACTTGTTCCTAACATCGACTAATTCTTATCAGCGTTGCACCTAATAACGATGCTCCTATGGAAGATGAAACTCCCTCTGAGCCCGTTGATGAAGCCGCCCTAATTGAGCAGCGACGCAGACGTCGTGAAGCTATAAAAGCTAAGTACCGTGGTCAAGCGACGCCTCTTCTTGTCCAAGCTCTTCAGACTGGGAATGAGACAGGATCTACTGCATGCGATGCCAGTGAGGCCGTCTCCAAACCGGACTTGTCAGGTAATAAAATACTAGGCCATCTACCAACTCCAAGTCTGTAGGCTGACATCTCCACACCAGGTCGCCAAGGTTCACCTACGAACACCCTAGACGATACATCTACTGCTCAATCTCCCACAGACCTCCATGTTTCCCGAGATGAAGACCTTGCAAACACTGACTTGCAAAGTAGAAGTGGGCTAGAAAAGGAAGAGGCTTCCGCAGCTGATTATGACCCGACCGCCGACATGAGGCAGGAAAAAATGAAACATGATAAACGCCATTTTGGCGAAGATATGCCGGCAAGCGCGTATGATGAAACCAAGGTAACAAGGCAGGAAGTGCTTGTTCCGGAGCCAACAGCAGCAGACCCAAATCAGATGAAAGCGAAGGATCCATTTGATATGTTTGCTGAAGATGACGACATGTTTGCCGAGGAGCCTCCCAGTACAGCGGCGCAAAATGCTCAAGCGCAGATTGCCGTCAAGCCAAGCATTGCCCAGCCACAAGAACTTGACATGAGTATGATGGACAATTGGGACGATCCTGAAGGTTACTACAATGTGATGCTGGGTGAGTTGATCAATGGACGGTACCACGTTCAACAAAATCTGGGCAAAGGAATGTTTTCTTCAGTTGTTCGCTGTACGGACTCAAAAACTGGAAGGCTGGTTGCCGTGAAAATTATTCGTAACAATGATACTATGCGCAAGGCAGGTTTCAAGGAGATAGAAATACTGCAGCAGCTACGAGCTGCCGACCCGGATGATAGGAAACACATTATCAGGTTTGACCGGCAGTTTGAGCACAAAGGACACTTGTGCATGGTGTTTGAAAATCTCAGCATGAACCTTCGGGAGGTTTTGAAGAAATTTGGCCGAGATGTGGGTATCAATTTGCGCGCCATCCGGGCCTATGCTCAGCAAATGTTTCTCGGGTTGAGCCTTTTGCGCAAATGCAATATTATCCATGCGGATCTAAAACCCGACAACCTACTTGTGAACGAGAATCGAAATCTTTTGAAACTGTGCGACCTCGGGTCGGCCTCTCCGATTACCGAAAACGAGATCACACCTTACCTTGTCAGTCGTTTCTATCGTGCTCCTGAGATTATACTCGGCATCCCATACGACTATGCGATAGATGTGTGGTCAATTGGATGTACGCTCTTTGAGCTTTACTCGGGTAAAATCCTCTTTACGGGTCGCACCAACAACCAAATGCTACGCTCCATGATGGAGTGTCGTGGCAAATTCCCCCCGAAATTTTTACGTCGAGGATCACTTACTCACTTACATTTTGATGATCTCCTAAATTTCCGCAGCGTTGAGGAAGATAAAATTACTGGACGGATGGTGACGAAGATATTAGATTTTAAGAAACCAACTCGAGATTTGAAGACGCGACTGATAGGCAAAGGAGCGAGGCTCAGCGATACAGAAGCAAGGGAGATAAACCTGTTTATTGACCTATTGGATCGCTGCTTAAGTCTGAACCCTGAAAAGAGATGCACCCCATCGGAAGCCCTGAGACATCCTTTCATTGCAAGGAGCAAGGCCTGACCGGGTAGTCCTTGTTCAATGAGCCTACATACATGAAGGCGGATCTACGGGAACATGGTGACTAAAGAAGCGGGCTCTTGTAATTGTTGATGAAGACAGACATTTGCAGCACTTTTTGGCACTTTAGAGGTGATGTCAAGTATTACACAACATAGTATTTACATGGTGGCAAGGAGTCATTGGTTTAATATGAATGAAAGACATGATCTAGCTATCCTGATTACATTTACTTCGAGATCCTAGTAGTGGATTGGGATGTAAGCGGGAACAGGCACATGAGCTCAGAGCTCTTGCCCAGTACAGCATATGAATACTCAGAACAAATCCATACTGATGCCTGAAAACATTTACAGATCCTGTCATAATTGTCATTTGATGCAGAGTAGCAAGTTAAACAAAACCTGTGCGCTGTGCGCCATATGCTGTACCTCCATGCGCGAGAAGTAATAGGCCATAGACACATCATCACACGGCGGCTACAGACCCTAAAGCAGGGACAGGTTTGCCTTCAGCTGTATCACTACCACACTAAAATGCACGCATGTACTCCGCACCTACATATGCTTGGAGGATTCACACCGGCCGGATGTGATTGAAGGATCAGGGCATGCAGTGACTTTCACCAAATATGCCTAGTCATGGGAAGACAAGAGGCTGACTATCAACCGCATACCTACTTGTGCACTGAGACATAGAAGGACATTGATGTCCAAGACCCTGCATATGTACTGTTCTATGTAGGCCAGAACCAAAGCATCCTGCTCTAAAGGGTCGTCCTACATAGGGAATGCTGCAGTATTTGAAGCATTTCCAGTTACACAACGTACTGAGGGGTTGAAAACATCTGTGTCTAGCCGCCAGCTTGAAAGTATAGGGAGTACTATGTATGCACTATTGCATATGTATAATCTAAGTGGGTACGAAGTAGATGGTTGCTCAAATCGTTGATTGATTTTGCTTTGTGACAAGATACAGCCACAGAGCATATTTCCAACGGCGAGTGATTTCCTTTTGAGATGCGCCCATCCCGTTCTGCGACAATTTTATGGGAATGATTGCTTTTTCCGACTATCTGCTAAACCACCATCCTCCCAATAATGATCGCTTACAGAAAGTTTAGATTGGTCATGACAAAGTTGCCCAAAGTCCCAAGTACCAAGACTGTGGCTTCGAAAACAGAGGGATTTCTTTGTTTGCAATGGCGGGAAAAAGATCGCCTCCCAGCAAAGTGGTTTAGCACCACCGGCTGCCGCTGGATGCTCGCTTTCCCGGGTCGTGGCCCGTTCTATGGGAAGCAAACGACATCACTTTTCCAAAAAGGGGCAAGGTGAGAGCAAACTCGAGCTGAAGCATCGATATGCAACTTTGTTGCTGCGCACCACGAAATAAGCATGCACTCCGCTTGGAACTTGGCCCTTCCGGTGGCTCGCCAGACCGAACATTCAAGATTCGGGATGAGGTAGTGGCTGATAATCGCTGCATTTGGCTAGCTGGATCCCTTGTCGCCTGGGGAAGATAGCAAAGTCAAAAGCGTTAAAATCACATTTCATTGCTTGGGGTCTCGGTAGCTTCGTTCACCAACAGCCTGGACTGCGGTCTTCCTTCCGTCGATGAGGTACGAAGTCTCTGGCTTGGATCCGAGGAACAATGTTGGCTAAGATAAGCCCAAAAACTCTCAAATTATCCAGATTCCGTATTTCGATAATAATAGCTCCAAGCTCGATGTGTGATGTAAGAGTTAGATGTTCTTCCGCGGGGAAAATCCAGGGCCAACTATTGCCCTTACCTTCGCTGAAAATAGAGACAACCAGGGCTTTTCTGAGGCAGCAAACTTCCACAGGCTCTGTTGAAATCTTTGTTTCCGTCAGAGTCTGGCCGTAATAGTGATTCTGATGCGCCTATATTGGCTTCCCAAACGCAGCATCTTACTTCGGCATGTGCATCGGGAGTTTTGATGCCTTTGGTTCTCCAAACCGGGTATCAGACGGAGGGAGAATAGCAGGACGCGTGGAATGTGGCTGCATTGGGCCAGCAGGGCGCCTCTATCCATATTCGCAACGAAGTTTGTCAAGGAATGATCTCCTGGTAGATCTCTCGCGACGGTGGTGGAAAACAATTTTCAACTCCTAGCACTAGATTAACGCATCCGGCGGACGAAATCCACCTGCGATGAATACAGGTCACAGTCTCGTGGAGTCATTGTTGCGATCGACAAACATCCTGGAGGAAGCTCGATATTATTAATCTCGTGTTTCAGGCGAAGACTGACCAGGGACTCCCACACATTCTTGTTTCGTTTCAATCAACATGGGGCTCCTCGCCATTCACCCTGCCATGCTGCCCGCGATCTTTGATTATTGCAGAACATGTGAGGGGTGTTCTCGAACACGACCCCAACCGGACTTTCTCATATCCTTGCTGGATACAGGCATGTTTGATTGACGCTCTCAACCCCAGACGGGTCATCCGGAAGGGGAAGACCTCCACCCGCTTTCAAATGAAGCTGAGTTACATATGAACTTCTGTATGGGTGTGCTCGTTGCATCGAGAAGCGTTGTGATCCACACTCACAGGCGCGAAAAAGAAATAGCGCTTTCATTTCAAATTGATGGCCAACAATGAAGCAAACTCGGTAAATGCAGCACCTTGCCAGCCCAGCGATGCAGCTGAAGAAACGTGGATTCGCTTCTGTGGTAAGCAACATGGCCAATTACATTTCAAAGGCGTAACTCAGTCGACTTCTTTGCAATTAGAATAACGGAAATATTAAGTACATATGTCCTGCCGTACATCCATGAAAAGTCTAGCCTAGGCAATCTGCAGCCTGCATGGCTCAGCCCGTTTTCTCTCAGTCCCAAGCTCCCTGGCTTAGAGTACACCGGGTTTCTGTCCGTCCACACAGGTATCGGGCTGGAAGTGATTAATATTGATTAAGTCGGGAAACAAATGCTTCTCAAGAAGGACGCCTCAGTCCTTTTCGAACAAGCAACCCCCGGCTGGTCTGGGATCTGGTTTTTGATGGTCGCATTTGCGAATCCAATTGTCGAGACGGTGACAAGTAACATCGTGAAAGTCGTCTACTCCGTACATATGTATCTATTTCTCCGGACGGAGTATTCGTAGCTGCAGGAGAAACTGCGCCATTTGCCAAGCTCATTCTTGAATGCCATTTCCAAGAGTGTGAGCGAACAGTAGCAATTCACGTGAGACAAAGCTGATGTCCAATTTTGAAATGGCGAACTTGACGACCTGCATAAAGCGCCTCCGATAGTGACCCCGTAGGCTAGTCGCCAAGCGTCACGAAAAGAAGAAAGGAGGACGATTAGGGAAGAAGACTCCGAGAGGTCAGCTCCCGAAGCATCCTAGCCGCGTCCTCAGTACTCCCATAATATCATATGCATACTCCGTACTCCGTACTCCGTACGGAGTCCAGTCATACATGTACGGAGTATGTATGTTACCTGCGTGATCTTCTGATTTGACAAAACGGTTCAACGAAAAAGGATGGTTTAATCATGATCGCCGGCTTTATTTTGGGACTCGCCAAACTCGATAAAACTGTGTCTGGTAATGGCCCGGTTCCGGGATGCTCCCCCCAACCATCCAAGGAACAAGTTGGAAATCCAGCTGCCGAGGATGAACGAGAGTGCAAGATGCGAACGATGCTTGATCGCCATCTTGGGCGCTTTCCGGAGCCACTTGTCGCTCCAGAGCAGGAATATCAGACAAACCAGGATGATCTCCAGCGATCAGTCAAGCGCCCTGTCGCTTTCACGTGAGGCGTACTTTTCAGCAGATGAACTGATTCGAACAGCGACAAGGCCCAACCAATCTCGTCCCACGCCTTGACCCTGGACCTGGACCAACGCGCGAAGACTTCTGGAAGAAAGGGCTGGGGTGTGCGGGCTCCACCCAGGTGCCCTCGCCAGCCCTTCCTTTCCAAGTGCCCAGCAACTCGCCCCTGTGATGCCAACGCATTTCGCCCTTCATAGTCAGACTGGGCAGCGAGTGGGGCGCCCACAGACCATGACTGGCCATGCGCGCACTAACTGGGACCCCTGGGACTCTGGAAGTCGACCAAGGCAAATTCCTCCAAGCATGATTGGCCCGCCATCCAGCCACACTCGCAGTCTCTGGTCACCCTTGATGTTGTGACTTATGACGTGGGAACAAAAAAGGAGAAGGAGGAATCAAGGAGAGGGAGAAAAAAAAAAAATATCACGGCATTTGATGAGGAACAAAGGAGTCTCACCATGCAGTGCAACAACCAGCAAGAAATGTTCTGGTGGCCCTAGCTTCAGCTGCATCGATCCTCGCCAATGACAACAGGGCGGTTTTTATTGGAAAACACGAGAAGGGATTCGCTCTCCCCATCAATCTTCCGTGGCATTGGGAAGACGAAAATGTCCTCGTGCGCAATTTTGCAGCTTTGACAGGTTGGTTCTTGATATTTTCCGGATAGTTGATTGAGCGGCATTCTCCGGACACCGTCATGAATCATGTAACCTTTTTCCCTCGTTAACTATTGACAGCGATGTGGCCATATTAGGCATGACATAAGCACGGTGGAAAGGCTAAGCGGCGGGTAGCTACGCGTTCTGCTAATTGCTGCCGGCATGGAAATGGCCCTGTCCCATGGTTGAGACCGGATCATCGTGGAAGCGAAGAAAGTCGCACCCGTATGGGCTGTTTGGCTTCAAGGAGAAGAGTTCCCAGAATCCTGTGCACTGGTTCCAGATTCGCGAGGCTTTTCCAGAGCAAATGGTCAGACTTATCCACGGCTGACCAATGGCCGGACTCATCCGCCGCCTGGAGAAGCGAACTCAAAAGCAGCAAACGCACCATCTGATTTGCCACAATCTTACGCATCGGCGCTGCCTTTCTGTGACGCCATCTTTGTGCGCTTGAGCGTCTTACCGCCTGCCCACCCTCCAGAAATAGCAGGGGGACTGTGCGGAGAAAGGTGCGTTTGGTTAGTGCCAGGAATTAATTTATGACACGAGCCCACGCAAATGGCCGCGCGTGAAGATCGCGATGCGCCAGTGAGATTCAGCCCGAGGATGGGACAAGGGGGCTGACGTGCATATGGAGGCAGTGTGATGAGAAGTACGCTTGGTGTTGCAGTGTTACTCGACTTTAGGCCTGCGGATTCTCGCACACCCAGTCACAAGTCGGTTTCCAGCTGCCTTGAC